GAAACTACTGAGCCTACAAGCAAAGTAAAATGCGTGAATGAACAACGAAGAAAATGGGAAAAAAATCCACACGTGCATAAATAAAATATTAACAAGATAGCCTCCTCGGAATGGATAAAGACTGGGCAAAGAGTAATTTTATTAAATGCAGGAAAACAAGTAATTTGTTATTTTTAGCCAAAATGGAAAAAAGACTAAAGGCGGAAAAGGTTCTTGAAGAAAAAGGTTCCAGTAAGTCAATGTACCAAGGAAAAATCGAGTTTAGGTATGTGAGTGAATTATGTATTTTTTTTTTTTTTTTTTTTTTGGTTCAAAACAATGACGAGACCCAAAGTGGACGACGGTTTGTTATATGTTTGCATCGTCTTGAAGGACTTTGAATTTAGTCTCGAAGGGCCGAGGAATTAATAATTTTGATGTTTTGCATCATCTCGGAATTCTGAAATGAGTCTTTTTTCAAAATTCATAGTCTTTAAACGAATGACGAGCCACAAGACGGAATCGTATTGCATCGTCTCGGAAAAGGGATTATGAATGGAGGTAAGACATCCTACTCAAAAAAAGCGTGGATAAAAAATGAGTCTGCCCAGATGAGGGACTTTTTTGAACTGAAGTTTGTCGTTGACGTCACAAATTTTTGCGGCAAGATTTCAAAAAAAATTGATAAACGGAACCCTTGGTGACCAAAGCAGTTACTACTGTATTAGACCGAACGAGGGAGAAAGGGGGGTGTCAAACGCGCGCGCGCACACAAGCGTGGAAGAAGGAGGAAACTCGCGCGCGCGTAAATGTCGTAGATGGAATAATACATTATTCCACACCAGATGACTCACTAATCAGTTATTTTTAGCCAAAAACGTGAATAGGACAATCGAGGGTTTGAAATACACTACAGAGTATTTTGCTCACTTGAAATAGTAAATTTAATCCGTTGTTCAATTAAAGCTAAAACTGTTGTTTTTCAAAATTCATTTTAAACCTTAGGAATCGAGATAACGCACACTGACCCCAGAAATAAACGGAACCTGGGAGCTGTCGATGGTTGTCTTCTTTGAAGTCACAAGTCACTGTGAAGGTCTGCTCAGTTATAAATGCTAGATATAAAAACGGTAAGGTCTGCTCAGTATAAATGCAGTATAAACCACGGGTAGGCTCTGTGCGTGTTGAACAAAAACAAATGTGCCTGAGCAGGCGTCTGCAGTTAGCTAGCTGCCCTAGTAGCCATTTAGATTTTTTTAAATAGTTTTTCTAAAATTTACTCTTAGAATAAATGTTTCTTTTCAAATTAATTTAACATAAATTACATTTACGCTATATTTTTTAATTTGATAGTGACTTAATGTCTTCAGTTTAATTCTTAAGCTTGAAGTGGTTTATCTACCATTATTATTTGTTCCTGTGTAATCATCTCCAATATGTATGTGATTTGGTCCTACGACAAACGTCGGGGTTGCCATTTGTAGTAGTACATGTTACCAATATGTGTAATGGCTAAGAATGGTGAGATTAAGGACAATGCGTGAAAGCAATGCAATTTATACTTGACGTAAATAGAAACATAGAATAAAAATACAAACTGAACTGAATGATTCCAAAACATAACAATTAGATTTATTAATGTTTGATGTACATGAATGCGAATTGAAAAAGTAGGACAGAGTCGTGTCCCTTTGATTAGGTATTAGTTGTACCGGAGTTCATATTAAGAAAGTTTGGAATTGTGAGTTTGCAAAGTTGGTAAAAGTTCAGGAGTGATTTCAGAGTTCGTGAATGTTGGTAATTATCTTTAACGTCTGGTCAGCAATGATTAAGACGGGAATCGGTGATGGTTACATCTTGGCACTTGGTAACTACTACTCAAAAAGTTCACACATAATGGTCAAGTGGCTCCTAGCATATGAGCGGGAAAACAGATTGGTCGCGTGCAGGCGGTTTGATTGGTCGGAACTGACCAATCAGCAAGCTAGATTGGAGGTGATTGACCAATGAATACTTGTTATATTGTATGAAAGTAGAATTTTACTTACCAGATAGGAAGAGTGCATTTCCTAAAAATAGGTAAGGCTGGTTTGTTGTGGAAGATTCCACAAGCTATTGGTTAAAGAAAATTTATTATTAAACATAAATAACAATTTCTTGATTATTGCACGGCTGGTTTTCCGTATTACTTTATGTTTTATTTTTACTTTTACGCGCACAGTTTTTGGACTGGGATAGAATTACTGTATTTTTATTTTATCATTTGACCTCACAAGCTACAGTGTGTAAATAAAATGTTATTTTCATTCATTTTTAAGTAAAAGGTAAACATTACTTTTAGAAAATCTACTTAAGTCTTAAATTTACTAATACACTTCAAAACACATCTCTAAGAAAATATTGGATTTTAAATAGAATTTTAAATTTGTTGTTTACATTTTTTGTATACAATAGTGACTCGATGTGATGAAAAATCATGCCAATTATTTAAAAATACCTAAAATGTTTATTTATTTACGGGAATTCATTTTTCTTTTAATTTGGATCAACTTTAGCCACTAGGCCATTATCTTTAAAAGAGAACCGAAATTTATGTTCAAAGAAGACAATTAAATTATTTAAAATGTGTTTTTCATATTTTTTTTTTCTTTTTTTTAGAAAATCCGTGGTAGTACCTATAAAAGACTCAGTAAAAAAGTGAAGAACAATCCTATCGCATTTACCGCACTTTTTTTTTTATCGTACTGTATTTGTTAAAAAAAATGTATTTTCACTCTGAGAAAATTTAGACTCGCGGTAGAAAAGGGAAAGGGTGAAGGTAATAAAATAATTTACTGAAACCTGAACCATGACATCCTGCGTGGAAAGGTTCTTGAACAAGGAGTGGAGGGACTCAAATGAAAGTGAAGGAAAGGGAAAGGAAAACGAAAGTATTTTTTCTACTACAATAAATTGTTTTGACAAACGTGATTTTTTAACCAATGGCTACTCGAGTCGATTGAAATCTGAAATGCTTGTATTGACCGCCAAAATCGGAGCCGACCTTCGGCTATAAAAAAAAAATCCCTGCAATACGACCATCGGGAGGAGTAGGAGATGACACACCGGGTAGTGGGAGACGATAGGCCCTCAAAAACATTTGAAAAAATGACCGAGCCTAGACTCAAAGAAACCCACTCCTCAACAAAATCTTGACAATTGGCAGAATTAAGTCTTATTTTCACCCCTACTTTTGTAACAAAATAGTTGTTTCCACTACTGTTCTCAAAACAACAATCTACGTTGAAGACTCTAACTCTGAAGGCACGAACGGGTTCTGTTACGAACTTCGAGAACTCACATCAAATCACAAAAAGTATTTACTATTATTTTGTACCTTGAAGATAAATGTAGCGGTATTGACGGCCTAAATCAACCCGTACATTTTTTTTACTTTTTCCCTTTAACTTGTAATTCTTAAAGCCTTTTAAGAGGAAATATTTTTATCTGGACTCACAGAAAAGATTTCAGTTCATGAAATAAAGTTTAGTCTCAATGAAGAAATGTTCAGTGCTGAAGAAAATCTCTCTGCTAGAAGTTGAATAAGTTTCTGTTGCTTGTAGTTACTGAATTAGAAGAGGCTCAATGTTCGTACGTGTGTGTGTGTGTGTGTGTGTGTGTGTGTGTGTACAGATGTAGGCTCTTGTGGTATGAGAGAAAGGTAAAAGAGAAAGAGATGAAAATGTGTCCTTGTATTTATAATGTTGTATGTCACATGATAGGCTCGCAACATATAGATTTTTGGCGAAATTATATTTTCGTTCAGGTCAGAAACTAGGTCGATACAATTCGGACGTAGTTGAAAACATGATATTAATATTAATTGACCAATGACGAGTCAGAGAAATAGAGAAATATCAAGGCTTTGTGATCTGCTATTTGCAGATTTGGTCGATCGCGGTGCTGTTACGTAAAAAAATGTATTAGAATCTTTTTTAACCAATGGAATTAGATCACAAATAAAATATTTTTAAATTAGGACACTAAATAAATATACCCTTTTAAATGTGTTCGAGCTCACTGAAACATTGTACCTTCTTCCTTGCAATTTGTATTATTTTGTATTCGCTAGCATTTTTCTTGCGATATTTTGTTATTTGATTGATTTTGATTGAAAATATTATCATTTTCCTCACAGCCACCATTGAGCCTTATTTTAGAAATAATAAGTTACTTGCCTAGAAATTTTATTATCCCCTTCCCCGGGCGCACAAACCACCAAATTTTCACATCCCTAAATTTAGTAAACTTTTCTATTCTTTTAAAATTGTTTTGGTTTTATATCTCACTGAGTATCCCTTGTCATTTTTTTTACAGTGCGCCTTGTTGTCGCTTGATCTCCATTCTCACGAACCCACAAATATATATTTTTTTTCTGTGCCGAAAATTCCAAATCACGTCGCTCACTTGAAAATAATTTTTTTCTGTGCTGATAATTCCTTATCGCATAGGTATATCAGTATCACGTTGCGGTCAACAGCGTAGAGGTTGGCGTAAATGTTAAATGTGTGCGCGATTGTCCTTCCCTTTCGTACATGGTCTTTGATCTTTGTTCTACCGATTATTATCCATTGTATCTGGTTCAAACCAGTCCTTTTTTTTTTTTTTTTTTGAAATGCCGGTGTTAAAAATAATGAGGTAGTAGACGATAGGTAGATGATACTTTTCAGTATTTTTATTTTATTTATTAGACTTTGAAAGTACTACAATTCAATAATTCTATCAAACTTACACAGATGTTGTAACGTTGGAATATAAATTTGATTCGGAGAAAAATACAAAGATCCCTTGTCATCACGTATTTGTAATTCGAAAACGGAAGTGACGGGTCACGTGTTCCGGAAGTATTGTTCTGGATGCGACACGTTTTCTGTGCGCGAAGTTAAAATCCGATTTTTTTTTTTTTTTCGGGGGGATTTAAGTTTTTTTTCCGTGTAGCTTAAAAAATGAAGTCTACTGCTTGTAAGTTTATACAGCGCCAAATGTATACAGTTCTCTCTCATAAATATGGCACGACTCTTATTTTCTTGGGAATCGTTTTAATTGTAGTTTCTGCTTTCCAATTTGGTGAGGTATGTCAGATTTGTTGTTATTTTCTCTTCGATCGGTGTTTTTGGTTTGTGTTTATAAAATTCTTGACTTTTTTAAAAAATTCCTTTCTTGTTTTTTTAAAAATCGACTGTTTCTCCTTCTCAATGTTTAAAATAAAAACATCGTTCAACGTTATTATGATCTCGTGAAAATAAAAACAAATTCCCTAAGTGAGAGCAATTGTTTTTTAAATTAACTTCCTTCTTCCTAATTGAAATTGCTTGTATTTTTATAAATTATTTTTTATTAATTGACATTTCATATTTCAATTTGTCCTTCACCCCACTTACAAAAATCAACTGTTTTACTTTTGTCACTTTTTTTTTTTTTTAGTGAATTCGGTTTAATGAGCAATAAAAAGTTATCTTATTTTAAAAGATTCAACCTGCATTTTTGTGCCTTTAAAAAATGCGTTAGTCCATAGCGTTTCAAACAATTTCTAAAAGGTGCTGCTTAGACCAATCCACTTCACAAAAAATTGTCTAAATTTATTTTGTAACAACTTCTCGTTTTGGTCGGACCAAGACTATTTCAGCATCTTTTTATCTTATATATCAAACGGTGATTGTTTTTTTGAACTAGACTCATATTAGGAACTCTTTTTTTAAATATGAAAAGTCACGCATTCAAAATAATTTAAAAAAAAAAAGTAGCATTGGAGATGTGATATTTCATTTTTTTTTTCTTTTTCATAAGTAAAAACCGAATTATAACTTAACATTGGCAACTAAGTTCCAGAATTTGAAAACCGAAAATAAAAAAAATGAAAAATAGTCGAGCGTCTTCCTTCTTACTTCTTTTTTCGTGTCGAGTAACAGAAAGGAACCAAAAAATATCGTCTGCCATAAAATGCCAATAATTTTTTATATTTCAATTTTTTTTCTTCTAAGTTTAAAAAAAAAATAAAAATAAAAGAAGTGAAATTAAATTTGATCTCCTTGATCAATTTACATTGGAAATAACTATATATTCGACCAATAAGTTCTCAAAAGACGGAAACAATATCCTTCTTTTTCTCCCCTCATAAATTTTTTTTTACTTACGAAAAAAAAATTATATTGCATTTCGGAGGCAATTTTTTCTTCGTTTTTCTTTTTTACTTTGCATTTCGGATGCATGGCTTTTTGAATTGAAATGTGCGTTTCAAATATGAGGCGAGTTTAAAAGAAAAAAGGGATGAATGTAAGGGAAATAATTTAATGTTCATTTGTATTCAATATTATTGCTTACCTTTTTTACATCAGCAATTTCTGGTGACCCTTAAAGGGCCTTAACTAAGGTTAAGCCTCACCAACACTCCCCCTAAGTAGTTTTCTTGCAGATTTCAACACTGCTGTGTTCTGCATAGACCCCTTTTATCCTGATCGCTCTCTTTACAAAGGTTATTGGGACCTTTTTTTCCCCTTACTGTAACGTTCCTTTCAGTCATGGAGTCCAAATTGAGTCAGAAGCAATTAAGGGGTCACTGGGGTCAGAGTTGGTAACATATATATAGAATTTACAGTTTATGTAAAAAGTCTTACATTATAGAATTTTTATTTTTAATTCTTCTACTGTATATTTAATATTTCCTTTAAAGAAATCCATCAACTTCTTTTTTTTAAAGTCCTTTTATTTTTTTGTAGTTATTTTCTATTTGCAAAACTATACATATAAAAAATCTTATATTATAGAATTTTTATTTTTGTTATCTATTACACCCTGTAAAAGATTATATTTCAAGTTCTGTTATAAAGTAGTTTTACTTTTGTTCTGTAATTATTTCTTATTTGCAAAGATATATGTAGAAAATCTTACATTATAGGATTTTTATTGTTATTTCTTCTATATCCTTCCAAATATTTTGTCTCTAATTCTGTTAGAAAATATTGAAGAATGAATAGGTATGATATAAAAGCCACAATATCTTTATTCTTTGATATAAACCAGTTCTAATGATATAGGCCTACTCAAGTTTGGAGCATATGTATAGGCTTTATGAGATTTGTAGGCCATAATCATAAAGATTTTGTCTCTAATTCTGTTAGAGAAAATATTAAAGAATGAATAAGCAAGTGACTGGCATCTCCCCAATCTTGAGAATGCCGACTTTGTATTTCAAATAATATAAGATAAAGGAAAAATTAAAAAAAAAAAAATCTACAATAATGGGGATATACTGGAAGATTTCAGCAGATCTATCTTTATAGCAATGCCTAAGAAACCAGGCACAAATGAATGTGAACTCCACTGAATAATCAGCCTCATGAGCCATGTAACAAACTCATCATCCGTATTCTGATGAACAGAGCACACAACAGAAGCAGGCCAGAGATAGAACAAGAACAGTGCAGGGTTTTTTTAAAGACACCAAAATGAGAACACGACATTCATGCTCAGAATCTTATCAGAAAGAGCAGTACAAATGCATAAGGACATATACCTCTGTTTCATAGACTACGCAAAGGCCTTCTACAAAGTACGGCTCAATGATATGTTGGAACTGCTCAGCAACTTTGACATATTCAGGAAAGATATTAGAATAATCAAGAATCTATACTGGAAGTAAACAGCATGCATAGGCATAGAGAATGAGTTCAGCAAATATACAAAATTAGAAGCGGCATAAGGCAAGTATGCGTCTTCTCACTTGATCTATTCAACCTATACAGTGAGAGAATTCTGAGAGAATTTGAAATCCTACCAGGATTCAACATTGGTGTCCACAATCTTAACAAATAAGATACATTAGATGACACACTACTGATAGCAGACACAGAAGAGAAATTACAAAACCTCTTATGGAAGGTAGTGAAGGAGTGCAAGAAGAAGGGACTAAGAATGAACTACAAGAAGACAGTATGCATAGTCATCAGTAAAAAGATGAGCCCAAAATGCGATTTGCAGGTTGGGGATACTAAAATCAAGCATGTGCAGAAGTTTAAATATCTGGGAAGTATTTTGACAGAGGACAGTAAGTGCAACACTGAGATCTGTAGACATATTGGGATGGCCAAGGACACATCCAAAACCTGGGCAGAGTATTACAAGACAGGATGATTTCTTTGGTAGCAAAGAAAAGCATATTGAGTTATTACATGACATCTAACAAGGGAAATCAACGCATGACATACCTGGTGAGAGCCACAAGGGATAAGGAGAAGTGGAGAGCCATAATCATCTATGTCCTGAAAGGACATGGCACATAAAAAGAATAGAAAAGAAGGCCATAATCACTTAATTACATAGATAGGAGTTTGAGGTGCCAAAAATAGAGAAATAAGAGTCAAAGGATTTGTGTTCCGACTCCACAGCCCTGGTTCCTTCAGGGCATAGGCAACCATGACTCACAATCATTACTATCTGTGAATTGCAATGACTGCCTTCTCCATGGTCTTCTTTCTCCTAGACTGGTTGCCACTCAAGGCTATAGAATCCAGTCTTCTCTACTATCAAAGATAAGAACTAGGTACAACATGGACAGTGGAACAAGGACACTTTACACCCTACATTAAATGAAGGGTTCATGTTTTTGTTTTGTGTTTTTATTTTTTGTTTTATTGAAGTTATTAAACATATGTGATAGTTTGTTTTTTTTTTCCACAGACTGTCATGGAATGGAGTTATGCTCAGTATGTCAACATGTTCAGTTCATTTACAGATAATGTAGCAGGAATATCATTTAAGAATAGGTAAGACCCAAATTTACTATATGAGTTAAACATAATGTAATTAAAAAAAAAAAAAGAAAGAAAAATTCTCTTTTGAATATTTTATATATATATATATATATATATATATGTAAATATAAAATATCAATATTGATTGGAGACTTTCATGTATGAACACAATCTTCAGGCCTGGAGGTTGCATTCAAGCATGAAACAGATGGTCACCACTCAGTGTTGACCTCAATATCTACTTATATATTTTTAATCCAACATTTTTATTACTTCAAATATCATTATAGTTTCTATAGTAAACAGAATAAACTAATGGTGAGTGAATTGATTTATTATAATTATTAAATTGTTATAATTGATAAATTATGTAATGTTATTGAAGATTCATTAAACTAAGTATGCCACATATGCAAAACAAATAGTATAACGAGTATTTTTTAATCGCTGTTGCATGATGATTCTTTCTCTTTTAATGTCATTCTCAACTTTTTCCACATTTCATTTTGCTTTTGTTCTTGAAATTTTTTAAACAAAAAAATACTTTTTAAATCTTAATGCATTATTACAATCATCATAGCTGAATGTTGGCTTTCTTTCTATAAAATCGGCAATCTTTTTCAATGGCTTTTTCAATTTCAGTCCAGGTTTCATCAAAATGATGTTTTTAATTTCTTTGTTCATTGTGACAGTGTGAATGCTAGAGAATAGTTTCTCTAGAAAATTTTATATCATACAATGTTGACTGTCTTTTGTTGAACTTGGCCATTGGTTACAATGAACTTTCACTAGTGTCTCGTCTGTTTAAAATTTCCACATTTTGTGATAACTCCAAAGTTGATCTTTTCCACTTATTTCCATTATCTTTTGCACTAATGCAAGCCATTACGGTGAAATAAGCATAAGCAATTATCCAAAGTAACTTTCCTGAAAAACAGAAATTTCATATCAGTTAAATATCACCCAAATAGTTCAAATATACACATCAAAATCATGCCCGGATATGAGGGATTCTACTGTGTGTGTGTGTGTGTGTGTGTGTGTATAATCGACTCTCCCATCGAGATTCGACGTATGAGGGTCAAGCAGATCAGTTTCCAGGAAACCGACAGCCCGACACCAGCACATGAGATTTGATTATAGTGGTGAAGGCCTCGTGCAGGACCAGCCACACTTTTTGAAGGGACGAATACAGAGACTTGGTGCATCAATGCCACAAGGTTCCCAAACGACCTCCGCAGGCTTTTGAATTCAGAGTTGTCCTTCTCCTAGACCAGTTGCCATCCAAGGCTATAGAACCCAGTCTGTCCTGCTATTTTGCCCATAGCTGGAGGGAGAGGAAGAGGATTCATACCTTTCCCAAGGGTATTAGCATGTAAGTGAATGTAATGGATTCAACTGGAACTGGAATTCAAACTCGGCTCTGCAATTCCTCAATCCAAACCGCTATCCATTACTCCACCATACCTCCACCGTGTATATATATATATATATATATATATATATATATATATATGGGTGGACTCTTCCATTGTATTCGATGTATAAGGGTCAATCAGCTCAGTTCCGAGGAACTGACAACCAGGCACCAGCACATATGATTTTGATTATAGTGGTGAAAGCTTTGTGCAGAACGGACCACACTTTTTGAACGGCCAAATACAGAGACCTGGTGCACTATGTGCCACAAGATCCCCAAACAACCCTCTTTAGGTTTTGAATTCAGAGTTGTCCTTCTCCTAGACCAGTTGATATAGAACTCTGCTTGTTCTGCTATTTATCCATAGCTGGAGGGAGAAGAAAACGATTAATGCCTTTCCCAAGGGTATTAGCACATAAGTGAATGTAATGGATTTGACTGGAATTTGAACTTGGCTTGATGATTCCTCAATCTGAGCTGCTATCCACTACTCCACTATGCCTCTCATATATATATATATATATATATATATATATATATATATATATATATATGTGTGTGTGTAATATAATAATAATTATTATTCAACTCTCCCGTTGTATTTGACGTATGAGGGTCAAGCAGCTCAGTTCTGAGGAACAGACAGTCAGACACCAGCACATGATTTGATTATAATGGTGAAGGTTTTATGCAGAACCATCCATACTTTTTACACACATATGTGTGTGTGTGTGTGTGTATATATATATATATATATATATATATATATATATATATATATATATAGGGAAAAAAAGCATTCGTATAATACAAATTTCAGATTTAAAAATTTTTAAATTGCTTTAATACTCTATATTATTCAAGTGGGATATTCTAGAATGTTCCAATAATGTTATCAGTAGTTATTTTTAGCCTAAAAAATACAAAAGAAACATTTTGTAATTGATATTTGTGCAAGAATGTTATCATCATGGTAAGAGATAAAGAATTGACAAATTTACAAAAGAACTGACTGTTAATCTCTTGAAAGAAGGTAATAATTACCTGAAAATTTCAGACAACCTAAATATTCCATTTATTACCATTAGTTCATTCATTGCAAGGTATAAAAAACTCAAAACTGTTGGAAACCAAAGAAGAACAGGTGCTCCATGGAACATTTCTTCAAAATTTATGAAATAATGCATCAAATTAAACAAAATCCAATGGTTACTCATCAAGAATTGCAGGATGTTTTCCTTTCACCAGGAATCTGTGTCACTAAATGGATTATAAGCTATGGAATTCATAGGAACAATCTAAAGTCACACTCTCCTCAGAAAGCTCCACTGCTGTTGAAAAGACATAGGTATACCAGGTTGAAATTTGCTTGCGAACATAAAGATAAGGAATAATTTTATTGGGAAAGAGTATCATGGACAGACAAAACCAAAATTGAGTTAATTGGATGTAATTCTAGAAATCATGTATAGAGGAAAAATGGCGATCCCTTTGAACAAAAGAACATAGATCCAACAATGAAATTTGGTGGTGGCAGCATCATGGTTTGGGGATGTTTTTCTGCAAAAGGTACTGGCAAAATATCAGTAGTAGATGGTAGAATAAATGCTGCAGCATATCAAAATATTTTGGAAGCAAATTTAATGATTTTGGTTGAAAATCTTGAACTTCCTCTTGATTGGATTTTCCAGCAAGATAATGATCCTAAGCACACTACAAAATATATGAAGAAATGTCTTGCTGAAAATAATATAAATATCCTGAAATGGCCAAATCAGCGTGCAGATTTAAACTCAATCCAGAATCTGTGGCACTATTTGAAAATTCAAATCCAATTGAGAACTCCAACAAACATCCTGGATCTGAAGATCATATGCAAAGAAGAATGGAACAAAATACCAACTAAAATTTGCAAATCATTAATTGAGAACTGCAAGAAGAGGTTGGTTGCTGTAGAAGTGAATAATGGCTGTTTTACAAAGTATTAAATGAAGATTATGTATTGTTTTTTTGTATTGTACGAATCTTTTCGCCCATTAAAATGGATAAATGGGGTTTAATTCTATTATATCAAAATTTTTTCTGTTTTCTATGCATATTTAATTATGCATCTGTGTACAGTAATTATATGAAAAGTACATTTATTCATTAGTTGGAAATATAATAAATTAAAAATTTTATGTGTATGAATATTTGTTTTCCCCCCACTTAAACTGTCATCTAAATAACACAAAAATGAAAATAATACTGACATCTCATTTTAACAGATATATTTATCAAAATTACACAAAATTATCTTGAAATACAAAAGATTAACTTTATTCAATAAAATCACTTCAAACATGGCCTCCAGATGAATCTCCTGCAACTCTTCTGGATGATTTGCTTGTTTAAGTTAGTGAATGCTGCTATAACCCTTGCCTTCAGTTTATCTTTGGTATTACAAGGAGTTTTGTTGGTCTCTTACTCAGCTGCTTCCCACACATAATAATCAAGGGGGCTGCAATCTGGGGAGTTAGGTGGCCAGATGTAAGGGGTGATTTGGTCACAGAAATTGTTTGACAGCCATGACTGGGTTCTTCTGCTTGTGTGGCATGGTGCAAAGTCCTGTTGCCATACATAGGATCTTCCAGCAGCCACCCTCTTAACCCAGAGTAGCACTACCTCTTCAAGACACTTGAGGTTGTCCTCCATGTCAAGTACCTGGTGATGATGAATGTAGCCATAACGCCACCTATACTAGTGATCACTCCAAACACCTTCATAATCAGCATTAGACTCATCCAACTCTTTTTGAATCCTCTGCACTGTCCTCAGAGTGATACCTGAGCACTTTGGAATGATCGTATTGGAACTTCCGGTATGAATGCCAAGCATGTCATTTCCAAATTTCTGGCAGAGTGAATTACATCATGGTGCTTTTTTTCTCACTGATGGTGTTCAACTGCTCCTACTATACTGTGCAGTAGACCAAATCAAAACAAACAACATGCATGGGCAAGATTAAAAATATAAAATCGTGTCAATTCATCCATCCCATCCTCTGTGTGTGTGTGTGTGTGTATGTATATATATATATATATATTGTGTGTATTTAGGCAGCATTTTTTCATTCATACATGTTTCATTAAATAATATAGACAAGTGTTGTCTCTTTATTTTATGTAAATTCTTTTCATAACATCTAATAAGCTTAATAACATTATCATTAAACGAAGAAAGAAAATCACAATATTGATCCATATTTTTTATCCAATCTAAGCTTTCGGCTTACATAAGCCATCATCAAAGATGTCAATTACAGTACGATATATTAAGCAATATACGAACAAGACAGTGATGATAGTCTGTTTCTGTTTACATGGATGATTTCCAAGCAACGATAAACACGTGCATATAAGACGCTAGAAGTGAAAATCGCACCGCAGCTCATGATGTCACGTCATGAGGTGCGGTGCGATTTTTCACTTCTAGCGTCTTATCCATGTAAACAATCACCACATGATAATTTTATTGCTTATCAGATGTTATGAAAAGATTTTACATAAAATAAATAGTCAACACTTGTCTATATTATTTAATGAAACCTGTATGAATATATATATATGTGTATATATATATATATATATATATATATATATATAGATTAATACAAACATAAAATTTGTCACTTAGCTGATTGATGCTATATATATATATATATATATATATATATATATATATATATATATGAGCAGAAAGAATTCATCCAAACAAGTTTTTTCAAATAATATTGTTAGTTTGAGTATTTAAGTTTTTATATAGTTTTTCAAAGGAAGCTTCTTCTTTTATGTGTGGCAGTCATGTCTCTCCACAACTTCCTATCCCTTGTTGACCGTAGCAGTTTTACCCTCTTTATTAAGGTTAACAGCCCCTCCCCCATGTTCTGACATCCACAAACTTGTCAGTTAAGTTGCTTACTGTCTTCCCCTGTCTCTCAATATGCCCCATGAAGGTTGTTTTTCAAGTCTTCCTTTAACAAGGAATTTCAGTTGTCTCTTCTCAATTCAGAGTAGAAATGTTCCATCCATGGAATTTTCAGTATCCTTGTCTAGAACCACATTTCTGATGTCTCCAGTTTTCTCCTCCTCTTTGGAGAGATTGTCCAGCATTCACTGACAAAAAAGAGGTTAGATATCACATAGATCACCAAGGACACAATTCAAGTAAAAACTCTTGAAATCATTTGTGAAAAAAAGAAAACCTTATTATCTATTTAAAAAAAATAAAAAACATATATTTGAATTTCTATAAGTTTTTTTTTTTAAGTAGTGAACATAATTACAAATATTTACTATCAGATTTTTTTTTTTAATGAATGAAAAATATGCAATGAAAGCTAAATCAAACAAAAGACATAAAATAAAGCAATTAGCATAACTGGTCCAATTATTGTAACACTGATATAGCACAAAGTAAGTCATCATGGTCAAGGTTTTAAGTGTGCTGGCCTTATTCAAACTGTTAATCAGACTAGATAATGCACACTCTCCCAGAAATTGTAACTAAGATCCACTATAGTATAGTATAGTTGCAGTATAAATCACAGGTGAAGAATTCTGTGAATGTTGAACAAGCACAAATGTGCCTGATCAGACGTCTGCAACAGGAATTAGCTAGCTGCCCTAGTAGACTGACATCCTTGGATACAAGTGGCAGCGCCATTTAGATATAGAATGGGTGCATCAGCATGGGTGAATGGTTAATCAGTCTAGTTTTTATGACCATTACTACTGAGTAATGAGTTCAATCCTAAATGGGAGCCCCATACAAAATTCATTATTTAGTCAGTTAAGTGACATATGGGATACATGCTTAGGCATTCATATCTCTTTTGATTCATAACTTGACTAGGTAGAAGATTTTCCTGCAGTAGGTTGCTGCTTCTTTCTGCAGTAGACTGGTTGCCATCAATGTTAAAGGACTGAATCTCTCCTACTATTTAACCTATAGCTGGTGGGAGAAGAAATGGGTTCATACCTTTCTCAAGGGTAGTTTCACATAAGTGAATGTAACAAACCCAACTGGAATTTGAACTTGGATCTCTGATTTCTCATTATGAGCAGACATTCATTACAGCACAACAAAGTGACCAAAAAAGGGTTGACATGTCATAAAATCATCTAAACTTGGCCTAAAATTGTTTGTGATGCATTTTCATACTAAAATCATTTCCAGGTGCCTCAATATGGGTTAAGACCGGTCTGGTTGACCATTACTACTGAATTGTGAGTTCAATCCTCACTGATTGCCCCCATACAAAATTTAACATATTACAAAATCAACCAACTTAACCCAACCTAAATATAGAATATGTCATTACTAAAAAGGGAATATCAGGCTGCATGACCAACAAATATGCAAAATTACATTATTTTATATTCCAGAATAGCTGGGCTATCCTTTTAACATAATGGGACCCCACCATAATTAGAACACATACAAAAATAACTGGGTCCTAGAATGATTTTATCTGGGCCAGGTTTTATAACAGTGTAGAGAGTAAACTCAAGAAGTTTGATCTTCAAAGCAGCCACCCACGAACTAAAGGGAAACGGAGAAAATAAATAAATTAAACATTTTAGGATCAATTGCCACTTGGCTGGAAGTTAGGTCCCAATCACAGATAGAGTTGCAATTAGAATTGTCAGTTGTTCTAGGTTACCCATTATTAGAGAGTTATGAGTTGTGCATCATGATGTGGAGAGGTGCTAAGAGAGAGTTGGAATTCTCAGTAGCTGAAGGGAAGAATTGGTCCATTAGTATGAAGACAGAAATAATGATGTTATCCCAAGAGTCACCTACCTATCCCCAAGACTATCAAATGAAGCCATGAATAAATAACCAATATAATGGAAATAGGATTTGCATTTTCATTTTTCACTTGGTGATATTTTCACTTTTTGTTTTCTTGTGAACATGCAATGGATCTTTCCCAGTTTTTGATGCATACTGACATAAATGTGGATCAAAGCACAATGTGAGGTTATTTGACCATTTGGTGTAAGACTGAGAGAAGCCTCCAGGGTCATGTTTACATTAGTGTAAAAATAACCCCTATGTATTTGTTAATAACGATTTCTGTTTATACTTGTATACTTTTCATTATTTATATTTTGTTCTCAGAAAACTGGCTTACTGTAAAAAAAGAAAAAAAAAATGCTTCATAAATATCTTGCATGCATCACTGCAGAAGTTAGATTTTTAGAAAACTAAAATAATTTCTTTTACCTTATCGCAGGCTGTGTTCCCCTATTCCAATAGATGCTGTCTACACGTGGGTTAATGGATCTGATCCAAATCTTCTCTCGCAGATCCGGCACATAGAAATGGATCTTAAAAGACAAATCAATGGCATCAGGTAATTTGGCACTTTATTTACTAAAAAAATGTTTGAAATCATTTCAAATGATTATTTACATTATTTACATTCAAACTAATGTGATTGCTGTTATTTCAAATGACCTCAAAATAATTGTACATTTGAGATGATTTTGGTAGAAAACTCTTCCTCTGAATTTTGAATGTAAAATGTTTTTATCAAACATTAGTATTTCTTTGTTGCATACAAATTTATTTGAACTGTTTGCATTTTAGTTATTATAGTCACCACATTTTGGCCATTGCGCCCTCTGACCGTCTTCAGGTATCTGTTGTACTTGCAATTATTTGAAGGTGAGTTTGACTTTTAAACATTACCAAGTACAACAGGCAAATTCAAGTCTTGACAAAAGCTTATCTTTTATTTCGAATCTATATTGTTTCATCATGGTTGAAGAAAGATGAAAGAAATACCAATCAAAATTGAATAATAGTTGCCTTAATTTATATAAAGCACATTTTGAACTGTTTCAGCCACAAAGAGAATTGATGATCAAGAAAATCTTTCCCAGACTCTTGAAACATGCATATCTACTCAGTTTCATATCCTAATGTAAACAAAGCAATTTTTAAAGAAGTGAGAATGAAAGAGCACAATATCTCTATAGTATCAAGCACAAAAAATATACAATATATATTTTAAGCACTGTATATATATTAAGCACTGTTCACTATCACACTTCTATTTCAGTCTGTCTTTTTAGGGTCTCAGATAGGACAGAAAATATATAAGTAAATACACATTGATAATTATTATATAGTTTGATAATAATGGATGTTGGATCTGTTTAAAGGTCTCTTCTAAACTGTTTTTGCTCTTACATTCTCACACCTTCAGTAGTACTTTGGATAGACATTTTTGTCAGTTTCATTTCAGCCATTATTTTAAATCAGTTACCACTAAAAAAAAAAAAAATTAAATCAGTTACATCTAAAATAATTTTAAATCAATTTCCTCTAAAAAAAGTTTTAAATCAGTTACTGCTAAAAAAAAATTTAAATAAATATTTATTGAGTTATGGGCTATAACGTGTATACATTATTTTTTTCTGGTGATCCAGAAGATATACCTTTTGTGTGATACTTTTCTATGTCACAAATTTTGATTTTGATTTTTCTTCTTCTACGTGACATCTCCCTGTTCTAACCAACCATTTACGCAAGCTTAGGTAGGTTATGAGCAGCATTTCTCTGTCCATCTTGCCTTCAATGTCCTTTGAGTTTCAAATTTTCCACACCCACTTTCCTCATTACATGACCTAGAAATTTCAATTATTTCTTTCTGATGCTATGTATAAGTGTCCCTTTTTTCTATTTCCTTAAAAACTTTGTTGTTGCTCGTATGTTTAGTCCATGATATTCTCAGCATCCTTCTGAAGAACCACACTTGTGTTGCCTCTAGTGTCTTCTTCATCTGTGATGAGATTGTCCAGCATTCACTACATAATCAGAAAAGTAAATAAATATACAGTTATTTTTTCTGATGATGCAGTAGTCATAATTATTCAATAGTAGCATAAATAAGATAGTGCAAATAAAGGTTTTAATGTTTTAAATATCCCTATTATATTTTTTTTCTGCATGAATAAACTAATCTAATAAAAAAATATTCAAGATTTTTGCAACAATATTTGTCTAATTAGTGTTATGCTACCACGCAATCAATCCTCTAACCCTCAATACACTTTACACCTATAGTTAATCATCTCTTTTTCCTTCTCTAACTGTGATGCTCACTCACTCTCTCTATCATCTTGTTGAAATCAGCAATCGGATGAACTGTTGGGCAGCCAAATGATTGACCCTAGAAACAAAATCAGGTGAGATCTAAAAATAGCATCTCACACACGTCTGGAATAACGTGATCTAATATGAAAAGTTGAGTGGGAAAAATATCTGAAGAATCAGTTGGACTGCAGAGCTTGAGCGATCGACACCCTTTTTTTTGTTATCATCAACTAAAAGGGATTGCATAATGAAGAGACTGATGCCTAGTCCTAACTCACACATGTTATGTCACATGAACGTATATTTCATAGACCAAATAGTCTCAGACCAAAATGCAATGGTGAATTACTCAACTGAGAACTGAAAAAGAAGTAAAAAAAGAGAAATATAAAAAAAACGAAGAGAAAGGAAAAAAGAGAAAACCTGTTTTATTTCAGACAATGGACAAAAGCTAAGTGTTTCTTTTGATTTTCATATTGCATACACCAAACACATCTTTACATACAGACTATGTTGTTCTAATGTATAATTAAATCTTGTTAATTTTATTCTAGTGTTTGTTGTTCACTATTGGTTATTTCTCTTTATCTGTGCTTATTTGACCTTGTGAGAGAATTCACCACTAACAGAGTGGAAAATTTGGTCATATCCTTTGTGACAAGTCATGTTTTTTCTTGACCGTTTCAGGGATGATAACTGTACATTTAGCCATTGCGTACCAACTAATTTGATTGTCATTGAACCAGAATTTTCCACAGAACTCCGTCTTGATGAATTGAAACAAAAGTATAAAATGTTTGAAATGGCCAGCAAAATGTACTCTTTGAACTTCACAGGAGAACATCACAAATTCACTGTGATTACTTATCCTGATGAAAAAGCAGGTAACAATTTTTTATATATGTATATATTTTTCATATATTGGTGAATAGTGAATAGGTAAAAAGTGAATAGGAGTAGATAGGTAGGTTTACTTATCTTCCAGTATGCTTCTAATGTCTCCATCTTATTTTTCAATATAATTTACTTCTTTGTCATTGCACTTAATTCATATTGATTTAATATTTAATCATTCATATTGAAAATTATTCATTAAAACTCTCAGATCAAACTTTAACTAATAACTACATGTCAGGCTATGAATTTATTCATTCAAGTGTATACAAACACACACATATAGACATTATATTTTTATTAAGAAATATTTTTAAGAAGATTTATTAATTGCTTAAAATTTACTATGTTTACGCTTCAGAGATAAAAATAAAGTTAGGAGTATATAGGTTCACCTATCATCTGGTTCACACTCCTCCCTGATATTCTGAAAAGGAGTAGAGCTTTATCCCTTGTTACCTATTTAGGATTTCGTTTCCAGTTCTTTCTTAAGCCTACTTCAACTGTATATATCTAATATATCCACTTATACTCTGAAATTATATTTACTGTTGTTTTGTTTTTTTCCTTACTAGGAGTAGATAGGTTTACCTAATGTCCATTTCATACTCCACCCTGGCCTTTTGTACAGAAGTGGAGATTTATCCATTGTTTCTTGTTTAGAAGGAACCAGAAACCTAATTCTAAAGTCTTATTTTCTTTCACCCTTAGTAACCCCTTGTATCTTCATGGCATTATTGCCCTGCTTGGGGTGAAATGATAAAAAAAAGAAAAAAATATATATGCCTGATTTATAATTTCATATCATCATCATCATCAGTCCCAATGACTGGGTGTGTTCACAGGGCCATTGCATGGTTCTGACTAGTTTGCCCCACCCCACATCTGGATTGAAAGCTGGAGAGCTATTCACTCATGCATAACATGTCTTGGGCCACTAGAGTTGACAGATCCCATCTCTCTCCTGGCCAGACCACAGTCAATGTCCTCAAAATTGAAGGCTTGTTTTGGTCGCATTCATGTGGCTGTTAATTCCATTGGGGTGAACTCTCTGCCCAGCAATGCCATGTCATCACCACACATTGCACACATTGAGCGTATCCATAGCTATGAAGCTCAGTCTACTGCACTGTGCTAGATGGTGGTTGATCCTACAAGAAAGTTCATCCAACTTTTGACAGGTCTTGTTTTTAATTCTGCTGTGTATCTAGCCCCCCTCCTCATCAGAAAAGTCTGGAGGGAAAACCAGTTTACTTATTGATGACCTGACCATGTGGCAGGTAGTACTGCATTTCATGGCACCAGGAGCACTATTAGAGTGACCTGACATAAGCCATACTAATATAATTGTAGTGTAGTAGTGTTACGGACTCGCAGAAAGTAGTTTGCACTCGAATGCCTCATGGGTAATAGCCATAGCTATTTATACTCTTTGTGACTTCATATGTAAATAAGTCACCTCATCTCTCTGTACCAAAAAGGTTTTATTCTCTTATATTCCCTGGTACCTCTTCTGAGAGCTTTTGTCTCCTCAATAATAGTTAAAAATACTTTTGACTTTAAGCATTCAAAATTAAAACTCTGTTGTTTAAAAATAAAATTGGATTATTACAAAACTAACATGCTTCTTCCTTTATCCTTAAAAACATTTCAAGATAGATTTTTGAGTATCTGTAATGTAATTTCTAAGGAGCACTCTGCCTCAGCTGTTGATTCCATTTATTTTATATGCTTAAAGAACATATTGGTTTATGTGCAAGAGTCTGTTGATAAGTAAAGTTTCTTACAACTAATCCTATTTCTATCTATTACAAATATTGGAGATAGAAACAGTTGTATATAATATATAAAATCCTGTTCAAATCGACAATACTTCATATAATAAGGTAATTTTTTAATCAATTCATCCGAAGTAAGGCAATAATGCCATTAAGACACAAGGTGTAACTGAGAGTGAAAGAAAATGAAAAAAAATTTAAGAATCAAAAACCTAATCCTAAAATGGAAACAAGGGATAAACCTGTGTTCTTGTTCAAAAGAATTGTGAGGAGGGTGAATCGGATGATAGGCAAACTCATCTACAATATTACTCTTAATACCAGTAATGAGGAGTACCTGTAAAAATTTCATGGTTTTGCCATTTGAATTTTCTGATGAATAATAATGCTTAAGTTAATGATTAAATAAGCTCCTTGCAAGTTCCACAGCTATAGAGTACCTATGGAAATTCCCTTTAAATCATTAAATAGTTAGGCTTAACAACTTTAACAAAATATTACTATAATAATCATAAGTATGAATTCCAGTTGTTATTTAAAGAAGTAAGAGAGTACAAATGTAAATATTAAAAATTAACAAGGTTTTCCATTTCACTGAAGCACAAAACACATGCCACCTTTATATTTTTGTTCTTTCATTCTTTCTTAAACCAAACTGTGTCTTTTCCATCTTTCCTGGTGATCAAAACAGAATAGTCAATTATTTATGAGGCATTGGAAGGGTGTAAAGTCAGTGTAATCTCTGCAGAATGAAAGAACAAGCAGAATTATCATTTGATCATAACAGCAATTTTTAAAATTCTACTTATGTTATTGCTATTTTCTTTGCAAGATGAATTTATTGCACTATTTCATTATTTAGGAAATTCAACTTAATTTGCATTTTTAATGAACTTTCACAAATTAGCTTATAGGAAATGTTTTAATATTTACCAACACAGTATCCATTGGAGTATCCATGTGCTCCCTCTAAGATCAAAATGTCACTCCCAGTCTCCAACACTTGTCTAGGGTGTTTTATTCATGCTTTGAATATTGCTGCTACATCTGGCCAGGTTTTATGTATTGAGAGATTCTTGATAAAATACAAATAATAATCTGCAATGTTATTGGTCTTGACTTGGCATTTTGACCTCAGTCCCTTTCCCACCACTGTAACATACCTTCCCTGTGTCTTTTCTATAAATTCTTTTATGGTAGTTATTCTGATGAACTTTCCTCTATGATACCTACACATTATGAATCTAAGTGCAGTACTTAATTGGCAGCAACGTCTCATCATATTACTGTTCAAATGGCTAGATGTAACTGTAAGTTCTATTCTAACGTGCTTTCTTCTCTCTGACTTCTCACTTGTGGAACTATCTTCTGGCTTTCCAATCAAGTTTGATCTTCGAAAAATTTAAATGCAATATCAATTGTTATTTTCTGTTTTCTTGATTCCTGTTTTTTTATTGTTCTCTCTTCTTAATAGTGTTACTCTAGTACTCCCCTCACTTGTGTCTTAGTGGCTTTATTGCCTTGCTTAGGGTAGAATGATTTAAAAAAAAATTTAATTCTGAAAATTTTTTTTGTCTGTAAGCATTTTTCAATATGGGTTGCACAGACTTTTTACAAACAAAATAAGTTTTTAAACCTTTTACGTTCTATTTTAATCTCAAATTGACCTTTGGTGACCTTCAGTGACCTTAGAGATATCATCTATTATACATAATTTACCTCCACATAGACTTTAAATAACTTGCAAAGGATTGATAAACCATAGAAAACAAATCAATCAAAAAACCTCCACATGCATATTTACTTCTGAGAATGTAATTTATCTGCAATAGAATTTATAAGATTTTCAATATGTGGTCCTTAGAATTGCAAAGGACAAAAACAATCTGCAATAATTTATTCCTCAGATTTGTCAAGATTTTACATTGTTAAATTTAAAACAATTATAATCTGCTTGTTCATTAGTATCTACATTACACACTGCCATTACTGTAGATAATGAGCAATTCTCATTTGATTGGAAGGATAGACACAAAACAGAAGAAAAGAGATATCAATGGTGCTGTTTGGTTTTAAGGAAAGGAAGGGAAAAAAGAATGAAAAATAAAAATAAAATAGTGCTGGCTATAACATTCTCATGTTTAATGTCTGCTTCAGTAAAATTAAAAACCTTGTCAATTTGAATATTTTCATTTGTACCCTCTTACTTCTTTAAATAATGACCCACATTCATATTTATGATTGTTATTGTAATATTTTGAGTTGTGTTTATTTATACAAGGGTGAATCAGTTAATCTGTAGCCTGATACAGTTATTAACTGAATGTTGTTCTGAAATTTTCACCATATAATGTTCAATCTTTCTCATTAATGGTAAAATGCATTAACAAAAAAGGAGATCGTGTTTGAAAATAAATGTTTCTTATATAAAATAAATGCCTTTTTTCATCATTAGGCTGTGTACTTATTGAGTTCCCTACCAGTATCTGAATGCAGCATGTTTCTTCAGAAGGAGTATAAACATTGATGACTGGGTAGGGATGATAATCCAATGGGAATTGTGCAAAAGACTAGGATTTGAACATACAGGCCGATAGTAAAAGCATGAACCAAAAACTACAAATGTTGGATCATTGTAGCCTGATACGGTTATTAACTGAATTTTGATCTAAAATTTTCACTTTATAATTAATTGGGAAACATTGGATTAAGGTCATTAAGGAGGAGATCAAGTTGAAAAATATTTGTTCTGGAAAATAGCCTGTTTTCATTATTAGGCTACAAACTTATTGATGTAACTGCATATGTGATTAATAGTCAACAGTGAATCAAGTGCCTTGACAAGTAAAATTATTACATTGAAAAATAAATGTTTGTTGCATAAGATGGTTTTGTTTTATATTTATCATGAGGCTATGGATTATTTGATGTACCTATAGAATTTAAATTCCTGGGAATTTGAAGCTTACAGCCATATCACATTGAAACACTGGTTCTCATATAATCACCAAAGTTAAGCAACATCAAGCTTGGTCAATACTTAAATGGGTAACTGCTTGGGGAATGTCAGGTGCTGTAAGTTTGGATGTGTAGGTGGTGTAATGGATAACAGTACGGAATTGGAAATCAGGGAGCTGAGTTCCAATTCTCGTCAGGTTTGTTATATTCACTTACATTCAAATACCCTTGGGAAAGGTATGAATCCATCTCTTCTCCTGTCAGATATGGGTTAATTAGTAGGGCTTGTATCAGTAAATCACTAATATTTTCAAAAAACTCTTACAATCTAAAAATATTTTCTGGCTTTAAATAACCTGCAAAAGGAAGGTTGATAAACCATAAGATACAAATCAATCAATAAAGTCCTGAGAATTTTGTTTCTTCATTGCTCTGTATTGTGTTTAATTATTATGAATGACACGAAAGCTGAAATTAAATAAAACCTTTTTCTTTCATTGTTTTACATTCCTTCATTTTTCATTTTATTTTTTGTGCTGACTTCTAGTTTTGAAGGCACTTGAATACAGAAAAGAAATTAAAGAGAAAGACATGATAATAAAGCGAGGCTACTATGTGAGTTTTCAATTTCTAAAATAATATTTGAATTCTGTTTCACCATTAGTTCTTTGTCAAAGCATGTTATTGAGGTATGCAGCAGTTTCATTATTTTTAAACTCGTTCAGAACCACAAGTCAGAATGATATTAATTTCTTTTTTGTTTACATCATTTTTATGATTTAACTTATTTAGTCCTTTTTTGTTGTTGTAATTAATTAATGTACACTGAGACAAGAAAAAAGCCCAGGTTGAAAAATGGATGTTTGTTCTGTAAAGATAATCTTGTCATCATTGGGCTATCGAATTCAATTATTGATGTCTATGCATATGTAATTAATAATCACCACTGAATTAAGTGCATTGACATGGAAGGAGATTAAGAGCAGGCCTGGTGCAAGGGTCTTGTACCCCCCACCCTGAATCTATGAAACAGGACCCTCCCCGCTACTCCATTTCAATTCCCATAAGGTAGTAATCATGTAAAATACAAATTTTATTGTAACCTAATTATGTACAATAATGGATTATATGCAATATAAGTGAAGAATTCAACTAGAAAAATTGAAAATAAATACAATATATCTAAATGCAAATTAGAGACATGTCATAATAAATCATTCTATTTTAAATAAATCAACAATATTTTTGCAGCAATTTTTAACATCAGCTTGTGATTTTTCTTGTTAAAGAGTTGAATAAATTTTTGACATAAATAAAAAATTGTAAATTTTATTTAGGGTTTTTTTCAAGACTTAGCATGAGTAAAACAAATTCACAGATTTGGACAAAAAAAAACCCACTCCCAGGATGGCATCAAAATCTGAAATTTTTACTCCTTTAATACAGTTCGTTGTGCTTCATTTAATTTATAATGTATATAAATGTAGGTAGTAAAAATGCCAATATTGATAAGATAGTGAGGATCACAAAGCAATGCATGGAGCCCCCAATCAGGCTTGCCCCCGACTTGTTGGTGAATTCAAGGGCAGTATGCACTAGTGCTGATTAAGAGAATCATATTTGTTTTTATATTTTTTCACTGGCGGCATTAAAACATACAAACAAAAATATACAAACACACTTGAGAATTTGTATAGATCAACATAATTTATTTAATGCAAAGTTTAAACATTTTGTGTAAACTTGATCCATGTGCACCTTTCTGGGTCTAGTGTAATCTAGATCCATGTGTACCTTTCTGAGTATAGTGTAAGCTGGTTCTATCTTTTTTCTTTTACTACTGTTCACTCTATACAAGGCCCAACAGCCACTGAAGATAGAGGATTATGGAAGGTGGTTGTTATGTGAGTTGTAAGAGTAAGGGGTTCAATTTACATGGATATGTGGGGAAAATAAGGGTTAATCCTAGATCTGAAGAGACTAAGATTGTAGTGATTGGGAAAGCATCCTCCTAGGATTCTATTCCATACAGCAACAGTTTTTAGGAAGAAGCTATCCAAGGGGAACTTAACTCTTTAATAAAGGAATACGAGAATGAGGGGTGTTTTGCCTCTGTACGCAGCGTGAATGTTTTTAACTGAGGAATCAAGGAATGTAGCTCATTTGAACATTTTCCATCAAAATAGCAGTAGTGTAATGAGAGACTTTCAATCTTTAGTCTGTACAAAAGAGGCTGTAAGGTGGAAAATAATTCATCACCCACAGGGCCATGTAGATACTTTTGGACTCTGTTAAGACTGGAAAGTGAAAACTGCGTAGCACTCCATTTTCGTCCTGACCTATTTCTTGTAAAGGTAAAGGATCATAGGGGGAGTCAGGTATTTACTGGAGTGGTACAGGAAACTGACCATTTTTCCATCATCTTTAGTGATGGATTATATATACAAGTTCCATGTGAGGTCTAGGGTGAACATAACTTCCAATATGTATTCGAAGGAAAGGGGATCTCCTTGAGAGAACACCCATTCATTTTGAACAATAAGAATGTATTAGCTGTAAGTTGTGATGATGATCCCGCTTCCTGTTGAGACCTCCTGATACAGTTTTCCTCTCTACTTTTCCCTCTTTTTTTTAAGCTTATTCACCGTTCTCTTGATGGTTCTTGAATAAACTTTGAAGATGGATGCCAGAATATGAATGCTGGTACCATTACTGAAGGCCTGCATGTTCTTTTTTTCCTTTTTAAGTTTAGTATACCTGTTTACCTACCTATTGATTCATTGTTATTTTTATTCAATATTAAATAACCTAACAAGGGTTGATGTGTCAGTGAACTGACCCAATGCCAAGTATGCTAACAATCTTTATATATTTTGTTGAATTCTGAAATTTAATTTTTTAAATGCTGATTTACACTAAAACTGTTTTTTTTTTGTTTGTTTTATTTATTATTATTATCTTTTTTATTTTGTTATTTTTATTTATTTATTTCAGACTTCTGATTGGACCCTTCAACAAAGTGTTTTATTGTCTGATACAGTTTTGATGACAGGTCTTACAAAAAATGTTAAAGTGAAATCTATTAAGAATTTACTTTATAAGTATCAGATTGCTTTTTCCAAGGTAGGTAAATAGTTCTGCAATTTTTTAACTAGAATAGTAATTGCAAAATTGTTTAATAATAATGTTTTTTCTGCTTTGTTTTTTTTTTTTTTTTTTTTTTGGTAATAAAATGTATAGTGTATTTGCTTTTATTTTTCCGTTTTTCTCCAGATTCTTCTTACTACCAAAAGGTTCAAATATGGATTCTGTCCACAATACATTTTGCTAAATTATGAATATTTTATATGAAAAACATTATATTTTGTTTTCATCATTAACCGTTAGTAGACATTTTGAGATTACCAAAAGGGCTGGAGATTTGATTCAGGCCAAGGGAATCTTGAAAAAGAACAATATTATTTGATTTTGCAAAGACATGGTATACTATCTGATTTACATACAAAATTCACTTTCTAACAAGACAACAATCCAAAACACTCTTTTAAATTATATCAAAAATGAACAAGATTTTGGAAATTATTACTTTTCCATCTCAATCTCCTGATTTTTCTCCCATTGAATTGGTATGGGATGAATTGGATAGGATGATTCAAAGAGAATACCCAATGAGTGAGAGAGAGCTTTTTCAGTGCTTGAAGAATGATTGGGAAGGTTTCAAAAACTTTTGGGAAGAATGCCCAGAATTTATAAAGCAGCACTTGAGGCAGACAGTGGTTTTATTAATAAAAACAAAATATGATGCTGTTGTATAATAATTTTTTATAGTCAAGTGCTTATTTTTTGTCAAAATAAAATCAAATACACTGTAGTTACTGGAATTTTATCTTTTACTTTTAATAAATACAAAAGTATCTCCTTTTAGGGTGTTTTTTAAAGAAATACAGGGTGACCCCAATCTTTTTGCCTTTAGTGTAGCTAAAAACACCTTGTAGAGTGTTAGCACACATATATATATACCATATATATTATATACTTTAACACGCACTTCACATGCTGATCAAAACACATATGTAGCAGCAGTAAGATTTAAAGTTCTGCCAGGCTCTGCTGAACTCTACATGTATAAGAATTGTGGATTGGTCACAAAACTGTCCAATCATGGCCCCTCTTCCTGCTACCTCATTGGGAGATATAAAGCTCTTGGCCTCTTTATCTCCAAGACATGGACAGACAACAAGGACTCCTTTGTCCCTCTCCTGACATCACATGTTCGACTTTTTCAAAAGCAGAACTTTCATCGTTCTATAACAAAAAATATTCACAAAAGGTAAAAGTTTTGTATGTTGTCTATTGTTTCTCAATAGAATAAATGTTTTGTTTGGACTATTCTTACTCTTTTCTCAAACTTATCCATAAAGTCCACTAACATAAATCATTTTAACCTCTTGCTTACTTCATAGATGAAATTACGTATTTTGCAGTGTTGCCAGAGGTTAGTTTTCAAGTTTGGGTAAAAACTATGGATTTTAATACTGATTTTCAAGGTTTGATTATATTTTTTGCTATATAATATTAAAGCTGAAAACCTTTTCACTAAAAATGGGAGTCAAGATATATATTATTTTATTATTATTATTAGTTTGTAATTGTGATGTTATAATAGGATGATGAAAGTTTTGCTGCTTAAAATGACTAGGCAGTTTCAATGTATCTATTTTGAATATGATCACTCACTTCCCCCACCCTATTTTTTAACTTGTCAAGACTCTGAAGAAAAAAATCTTTTCTGGGTCGCCCTGTCAACTTGCTTAATTCCTTTCCTGCCTTCTCTCACTCTTTTTCCCTTTCCTCTCCCCATGTCTATCTCTCTTTCTCTTTCCTCTAAAAAATCTTATATTGAAATCTTTGTCTTTTCCCCCTTTTTTCTTTCTTCTTTTAATATTAAAAATTTTCCTTTTTCTCTTTTCTCTCTTGTCTTTTTTTTCTTCTTTTCCTTTTCCTTGTGTCTGAATAAATTGAACTGTAATTATTTTTGTAAAACTGAGCTGAAGAGAGGGACATCTGAAGTCCATGAAATAAACTATCACATGGCCTGATGGATTCCTAAGGATTTTGTATTCAATATTATATATATATATATACACACACACTAGACCAGACTACCTATGACCAGCTGGGTCACTGATGGCTCAAGTTATAAAACATTGAAGTTGATTTCAACATTAAAAAAATTGTCTGTTTGAAGAAAGTTGAAATAAAAATACTTACTGTGTAAACAATTTGTATTTTTTAAATCATATTTGAAAATATTTTTTAAAGATGCACCCAAATATTTTTTAAATATTTAAAATATTGTTTGTTTAAAGGAAGCTGAAATATAAAATAATTACTCTACAAACAACTAAAAGAAAGTGGAAAGCGAGATCTCTTTGTGTCTGTGTTTAAATTTTAAAGTATTGTAATTAAAAAATTGTCTGTTTGAAGAAAGTTAAAATAAAAATACTTACTGTATAAACAGTTCATATCTTTAAATCTTATTCACTTAAATCAGATTAACTTAAATCATTATGTGCTGGACAGATGCACCACACAGGCACACATACAATCACAGACTTTTAGTATTTTTTATATATATATATATATAAACGTGAAGGATTTGTTTCTTTTTCTGTTTTTCTAATGCCCAGGTTTCTATAAAACTTTATTGGAGGTGGGTAGTTAAATCATAACAAGGAGGTCTGATTTTTTGTTTACTTTTATACTCTCTCTTCCCTGTCTAATATCCTGAATAAACTGGTCCTGTGAAAATGAAAAAAAAAGCTAGTCTGGTACTATGCTGCTTTTGACATCTGGTTATTACACCAGATTCATACAACATTTTTGATAAATTTATTTGATTTTTCAAACAAAAATTTCCAATTAATTCAAGCTACAGTGTCTATTTCTCATCTCCAATCTCAAACAATAGTTTTGGAATGGGGATTGTTATGCACCCCTTTGTTGCCACTGCAATGTGCATTACCCACTGCCGACTATGCTCACTTTGACTGTTTGGCCTTCATAAATGTTCAGTATGCAATTTTTTATTCTGCATGGAGAAGTTCACTAATACATTTCTGCTTTTGGATCCCCTTTCATGTCAGATACCATTTTGCAAGACTACTGCTAGGTAAAAAAAAAAAAATACAGGTTATTAGCATGAGGGTTCAACCTTTACTGCCATACTCCAGTATGAGTTTTGATGTTGTGGGACAGCATAATAAAACATTAATTTTCAAAGTGATCGTCATGTTTGGGGTTCAATCCTCATTTTAAATTTTTCTTTTACTCATTTTTTTTTTTTTTCAGGTAACTCTGTATAAGATCCAACAATTGGCAGTCATCCATTTGTCATCAAAAGAGGCAATTGAGGAATTATTACAGGTAAAAAAAAAAAAAAGGAAAGATTTTAAGAAATTATTGATAAAATTCAAAGAAGAATCTGCAATGTTATTAGTCCTGATTTGGCATCTGACCTTCAGTTTTTTTTCCCATTGCCATAATGTAGCTTCCCTAAACCTTTTCTATAAATATTTTCATAGTAATTGTTCTAATGAACTTTTCTCTGTGGTACCTAGATTTTATGAATTTAAGCACAGTACTAGTTTGGTGGCAAGGTCTCATTTTATAGTTGAAATTGCGAGATGTAACCCTAAGTTCTACACTAACAGTTTCTTCTTTCATACTCTTGCTTGTGAAACTCTCTTCCGGCTTCTTGCTTCCCAGTCAACTTTGATCTTCTAAAACTTAAGCATAATGTCAATCGTTATATTCTGTCTTCTTAATTCCTGTTCTTTTAATGTTATCTCTCCTTAATAGTGTTTTCTTTTTTTTTCATATTCTCTAGCACTCAGTAACCTCTTGCATGTTAGTGGCTTTATTACTTTGATTGGGATGAAATAATTAAAAAAAAATTAATAAAGAATTTAAAATGTTGTCTACCTTACACCCACTTGATTAAAAAAAATTTTTTTTTAAAATGTTTGAAAATTTTTATGTTTTTATTGCACTGGCTGTAAATTTCAGACATTGTTGATATAACACTTCTTCCAACAAGTACAACTATTTAACTATCTGGGAAGTGTTTTAACAGAGGATGAAAAGAGTGATACTAAAATCAGAAGGTGTATTGGGATAGTGAATGATGGCTTCTAAAAGCTAAACAAAGTATTAAGACGCAGGAAAATTTTGTCAGAAATAAAGAAAAGTGTACTGAACTGTTACATAATATCAGTCTTCCTATATACCTGTGAATGCTGGACAATCTCCTAAAAAATGAAGACGAGACTTTAAGCAACAGAAATGTGGTTCTGTAGAAGGATGTTGAAAATATCATGGACTGATCATATGAGCAATGATGAAACAAAAAAAAAAAGACACTTATACTTAACATCAGAAAGAGTTAAAATTTCTAGGGCACATAATGAGGAAAGAGGTGTTGGAAAATTTGATACTCACAGGACAGATTGAAGGTAAGAGAGACAGAGGAAAACAGTGCATGACATTCTTAGTAAGCTTGACTAAATTGATGGTAGAACAGATAAGAAAAATACAAAATTTATTAAGAGCTACAAATGACAGGAAATTGTGCAGAGCCGTGATCACCAATGTCCAGAAGGGACATGGCACATAGAAGAAGAAAATATATTCAATGCATCAACAAAAGTTCAATTGACCTATCAAGTGTTTCACATGGTATTACTGCTTGAAAGAGATGCTAATGATAATTTTAAAATTCTTACTACTTAGATTTAAATTATAGAATAGGTAGAATAGGTTTAAGGTTCCAAGTTCTACTCTCAGATTTAAGCATTGGCTCATGAATTGTGAGTTGGATCCCTAGGCTGGGTAGTGTTCATTTGGACCCAGTGGAAATAGTGCATCAGTACTAAGAACTAGACAAGATATCCCTAGACATGGGCAATGGAATGAAAACAATCTACCCCTGCAGATTAAATAAAGAATTCAGGTAAAAATTTCCTGTAGGTTACCTGGATTGACAAACACCCAATGAAAGTCAGTATATTGTGATAGCAACAAAGAAGAATACTAGTTCACATAATAATTTTTTAATAATGATATCTCCTCACCCCAGAAATTCAGACAGTTTTTTATATCCCTCTATATACATGCTAACCATATATATATATATATATATAATTCCCCAACTACTACATAATTTATAATATTAAAACTCCTTATTCAATTTATATTATTGACTATATTATTTGTATATCAAATTTATTTTTAGATTTAATTGTAACTATATTTATCACATATTTTGAAAAACTTGGTAAATATTATTCAATATAAAGTCCATTAGCTTTATCAAACCTCTGGTCCTAATGAGTGTGTAGTGTTAGCAATAAATAAATTACTAATAAATAAACTCCAACTCTTATTAGCAGACTATGTAGCATTCTGCAACCAAAATAATTAACAATGAAAGACAAATTAAAAGTTAAGCAATAAAAATACTTTAAAGTACAAATAAGAATGGTAATTAATAATAAATAAAGTTAGATTATAAAAAATAGTTAAATAAAATATAGAATACTCCCATGATACATCAGAACAAGCATTTTACAACCAAGAGAAACAAAAATCAAAACATTTCTCTTTGTTTTTTGACCATTGCAAAAGACTAACATTCTGGACAGTCTGAGATAAAACATGTTGCCACCAACAGATAAGCAGGATTTCTTTATTTCTCTATACATATATGTTCTTTAAAATATACAATCATTTCTCTGAAATGTATACTAAAGAAATTTATCATGTTTATTTCTATGCTTATTTTTTTATATCTCATATATCATTTTGTTTGTAATATTGTGTTATATTTCATGCTAATAGGAATATATACTTGACAAACATGGAGGATAAAATAAGTAAAGGTTTATTGTAATAACCAGTGCAATAAGAATAAAGGTAACAGTTATGCACAAGGTCATCACAAGTCAACCCAGTAGTGAGTGCTACTACTGGAAGGTCGGTAGTTCTGAGTCATACTCAAAAGATCCCAGCTAGACTCCATAGTTCATTGTCTTACCGATACTTATAGGTAATTACTACCTATAGTGTAGTTACTCATGGGGGGGACAGGTTATTCCATTACATCATATTGTAACTCCATTGTGGTCTTGTGATGCCCATTTTAATCTTAAAAAAATAATATATAAAAAATAACATTCAGACAAGGCCAATACATTGTCAGAATACCACAACAAGTATTTTGATACAAAATTCCTAAGTTGGTCAATCAAATAAGTTATTTGAATTTATTTAATTCATTGAATATTATAGTTCTGGTTATATATTGAGTCGTTTTTGACAGAAGTACACATAACCTGAAAAAATATATTAAATTGTCATAATTAATATATTTTTGTACTTGTATTATGATTTTTATTATTATAAATTAATATTATTTTTTTATATAGTTATTTTCATTTAACTCTATTTTCAGGTTAATGTTACCTTTGACAACCAAAATGCTACATTGGTCGTAGCTAACCTTGTTTGGGATTTGACTGATGTAAGTGAAAACTTGTTATACCCATACACACAAGCCACCAATCTGCCTCTGGGTGGCATGCCACTAACATTTACTACAGTCGGACTGCCAGCATGTTCATCTCAGTAATGTTACCACTGACAGACTGCTAGAGGCCCACTGGTGGCTGCTACCAGAGAACAGCCGGTGTTGTTATCGGTGGCTCACTCGTGGGCCACAAGTAGGGACTTTTATTCAGTTTTAATTTATAATTTTTTATTAATGAAAGAAGTTTATTTGTATTTATTATAATTCCAGAATCATCAACATTTTTTTAAATTAATATATCAGTTTTATATATATATATATATATATATATCCCCATGTTTCCCAAACTATTTTGGCCCTGACCCTGAATGCAAATTTTGGGGACTTGGTGTTCAGTGTTTCTTTAGTTTTGTCTCAATAAATTTTACTCAATTTGCTAATTAATAATTCATAATAGTTCTTATGTAAATTGAAGAAAATGAAAAACAACAATTCATGTAAAAGTATGATATTCATATCATGGTACCTCAGTCATCAAGAACACTCAGGTGTCTTTTTCCCCCAGGTACTTTGTGGAACAGGCTCTTACAGTGATGTTTCCTTAAATACTAATATCTTAACCTCTTCAAGTCAATTGTGGTCTATCCTCCCTATCCTCATAACCTCCACTTCCTCCCAAGTATTCCATTCATACCACACACCACATTCATCATAACAATTTTAACAGTATCTCTCCATCTTGAGTGGCTCTCGAGCCTTGTCACTGTCCAAATATTGGAAGTAAGCTGACCTGAATATTTTGGAAGTTTTCATACTTTTTAAAAAGAAAAAAAGGAGCCAAGCATAGGATCATTGTGTCAATTTAAACGATCCTTTCCTTAACTGCATAGTATAGGCTTTGCCAGGGCTACATACATTTTTGAATTCAGAGTTTTCCTCCTCCTAGACTGCCACCCAAGGTTATAGAACCCAGTCTGTCTTGCTATTTACTCATAGCTGGGAGGGGAGAAGAGATGGATTCATACATTTCCCAAGGATATTAGCATGTAAGTGAATGTAATGTATTCAACTGGAATTTGAACTCAGCTCTCTGATTTCTCAATCTGAGCTGCAAGCCATTGTTCTACCATGCCTCCTATCATGCATTTATCATTGTTTTACTATTTACAACTGATTTTCAATTTACATTCCAAAATTGTGATGTGAATTTATTTTTACTTTTAACTTGTTTCTTTTATCTTTCTAAAACAATCTGTGATTTTTGTCGGACATGGTGGAAGAGAAAAATAAAATGTACTGTCCAGCACAGGGGTTGAGCTTATAAACTTCAGTCAACTAGCTAGAGACTTTAGTTTTTAAGGGAGATATCAATGTTGACTGAAATAAGATCATCTGATGTCCTATAAAAGACAAGGCATTTCCTCTCTATTTTTTTTTTTTTTTTTTTTGCCTGGAGGACATTTGTCACTCAGAATTTTTGCCAGTTTGATTGCTGAGAAAGTCAAGTGGAGAGTGGAAGGTAAGAAAAGAGACTAAGAAATCAAAACAAGTAGAGACAATAAGAACAATGACTATTACTTAATTTAAACTATGCCTGGTTTGCAATTTACTGTTATTCACAAACCAGCCACTGTATTATGAATTCAACAGATTTCCCTGCCTCTTATCAGCATGGTTGATGCTCAACTTCACGAGAGTGTCTCACTGCCTCTTCTTGGTCTCACGTTTTCCACTGATCTGAGGTGGAACAACTACATTGAATATACTGCAATGCATGTACTGCAAGAAAAGTTGATTCTCTGTGTCACACCAGAAAGTTTTTCTCATTCATCTTTCACATCTACAAATTTGCCATTTGTCCATGCATAGAATACTGTTGCCACATATGGTCTGGTGCCCCCGCTGTTCATCTCTAGGTTCTCGACAAAATCCAAAGACGGATATGAAATGTGATTGGTCCTGACTTGGGATCTCTACTCCAGTCACTTTCTCACAGAGATGAAGTGGCTTTCTACAAAATACTTTCATGGTATCTGCTCTGTTGAGTTAATTTCACTAGTACCTGACTGCATGAAATTAAGTGTGCTGCTAGGTTGGCATCTCAGTCCCACCCTTTTACTGTTGAAATAGTTAAATGTAACCACCTCTTCTACTCTAACAGCTTCTTCTCTCACACTTCCCGACAGTGGAGCTCCCTCCCTCTTACTTGCTTTCCTGATAACTATAATCTTCAAAAATTTAAATGTAATGTCAATCAACATCTTCTGATACCTTGATCCCCATTCTTCTATTTATCCTTTCCCCTCTCCCCTCTCCCACCTATACCCTAGTCCTTTCTCTTACTTTCACTCTCTATAACCCTTTGTGGCACACCCGCCTTGCTTAGGGTGAAATTCTTATGAAAAACTTTTTTTAAATTTGAAATGGTGCTGTTATTATGGCATTCCACAATTCTTCTCAATTGGTTAGTTGCACATCCAGAATTCAAATCTGTCATTCCATCACATCCCAAAGATCCTCAATGAGATTGAGATGTAGCGAGGGTGGAGGATACTTTAACACAGAAAACTCATTGCTGTATTCCATGAACAAATTTGCTACTATTTTTAATTTGTGCCACTATGCGTCGTTCTTCTGTAAGTGGCCACCAGAGGATCTGTGTACCATAGTCATAAGTTACATGGTCAGCCATAATATTTTGGTAAGTTGCAGCATTTAAATGATCATTTATTGGTACCAAGGGTCCCAATGTATGCCAAGAAAATATTCTCCATACCATTACACTACCACTACCAGCCTGAGCTGCTGATAGAAGGTATGATGTATTCATACTTTCATTTACACTATTTACATCATTTGCACTGTTGTCCTCATCTTTATTGCCATATTCAGAATGTTTCACCCATTGTACGTTCCTGCCTTCTTCAGATGATATATGTTGGAATTTCAAACCAAGCTCTTTATTTAGTCCTCAGGGATAGATTGTTCTAATCCACATGCCATGATGTTTTTGGATATCTCAGTTTCAGTTAATTCCCTTTAGCAACTCAACTCTCCAAGTTTTTGTTTCCTCTGATGTGGCCAGGTATTGAACTCACAACCCTTTGGGTCAAGTCACTTTTTGAATCACTTAACCAACACTTTTATCCACTGGTCTATTCATCTTTGGTTTGAAATTCCCATATATATCACCTGAAGAGTGCTGGAGCATACAATAGTCAAAACATTGTGAATATGGCAATAAAGACGAGGACAACAATGATGTAAATAGTGTAAACGGAATACATCATCTCGGAAATATAGATAGACCATACTTTCATATTGTTTATACCAAATTCTGGCCCAGCCATCTAAATATCACCACAGTAATTGTGACTCTTTAAACCAGGCAATTTTTTTCCAATCTTCTGTTAACCAATTTTTGTGATCCTTAGTGAATTGTAGCCTTACTTTCTTTTTCTTATCTAACAAGAGTAGCACTTGGTATAGCCTTCTGCATCTGCAGCTCATCTGCTTCAAGGTTCATTGTGCATCCAGAGATCCGTGATAAAGAGTGATTATTTGAGATAATATTGCCTTTCTAACAGCTTGAACCAGCCTGACCATTCTACCCTGACCTCTTTCATCAACAAGGAATTCCCAACCACAGAATTACCACTCACTGGAACTTTTTTAAAAAATTTTTTTTGACTTTTCTTTTAAAACCCAAAGTTGGCTGTATGTGAAAATCTTAGGCAGGTTTGAATATTGCTGACTTACTATCTGGCACCAATGACCATACCATGTTGAATCACTTAAATCACCTTTCTTTCCTATACTAATGCTTGTTTAAATTACTATATCCATTTAAATTGCTGCCACATCATTGGCTGATTAGAAATTTGCATTAAAGAACATATGTTCATGTTTACTTAATTAAGTAGCCAGTGAGTGTACTGGATGATTCTTTTTGTATAGAATTTATATTTATATATTTATTTATACCATTTTCACTTTAATTTGATATAAATGTGAACAAAAATACTTTTCTCCTTGTAGTATTCTCAAAATGAAGATACATCTCCCAGTAGGTTTGAAGATAATGAGGTAAATATGTCAATTAAATTATTTTATTGATTTTTAATTGAAATTAATTAATTTAAAAAGCAATAAATATTTGAAACAAATCTGTATTTCCTCAAATCAGGTACCTTTGACATCTTTTGAATAATCTGAAAATGTTATTTATATGCACACTATTCTCCTCATCTTTTTTGTAATTAAAACAATGTTTCAGCCATTGTGCTTTTTAGCCTTCATCAGGTGTCAACCCAGGGACTTTCAAACTAAACCCTTTATTTAATCTACAGGGATTTGTCATTATTACTTACTAAATGCATCTTACTTTGGCACAAGACCTCCAGTATGGGGCTCCCAGTGAGGATCAGTAGTAATGATCAACTAGAATAGCTTGTTAACCATTACCCCATGCTATGGAACCATCCTTACCTCACTCTCAGGTGTCTGTTTTTGCCTCATTGCTTAGATTTTATTACTTTTTATAAAATGGCAATTAATTTTAAACATTATTGTTCTGCTGGCAATTGCACTTGTTGCACAATAAAATTTACTCTGCTCTTGTGACTTCCATTGTCAGACAATAGTGTGTTTGAATTTGGCAGTAGTATTGTCATATCCTTCTATGGCAACAGTTAAAACACTCTTGACTGAAATCGAGACAAGGCTACAGCAGATGAGAGGCTGCCATATTCAGTGGAAGGGGAAGTAATAGTTGTGAATAAGGCAGAATGCTGAACATTAAACATACTTTGTTTTATTTTTATTTTTCAGGAATTACGGTACTCATTAAGATCAATTGACAGATTTGCTCCCTGGATACGACATGTTTTCATTGTCACTAATGGTCAAATTCCTTTATGGCTGAATTTGGATAGCCCAAGATTAACACTGGTTACCCATGAGGTATGGTTTTATTTATATTTTAGTTTTTTGCTTTGGACTGGATGGTCTATAGACTAAGCTAAAACAACATCTCAAAAAAAAAAAATCTGGGGAAAATATTTGGGGGAAAGTAATTTTTGTAAATGAACATTCATTAGACCTTACTCAAGGTATAACATTTGTTAGAATAAAAAAAAATTGTTTTTTTTTATTTTAGAATGAGGCACTGTTCATTATATAAACACAATGTCAAATTGATACCTAACGTTTTAAAGAGTTATCTGTACTTATTTATTTACAAATATCAAGTTTGAAACTGTGCCTACAGCATTAATAACTGTATTATTGATGTTGTTCTTTTTCCAAATTTCTAGTAGTACACAGTTAGCATATGCATAGTTTCGAATGTGAAATTTGTAGATAAAAACAAAGTACAGATAACTCTGAAATAGATTAGTTTCGGATTGGATATTCTGCAATTCAGACTAAGCTAAATGACACCTCCAATATATAATATAATAAAAATTCATCAAAAAACAGGTTGTATTGTATGCTACCATGTCTTGCTAGTTTGGAAATAGCACTAAGTGCCAGTTATATTATAACAAACTAGCAGTAGAACCCGGCGTTGCCCGGGGATGTAACAGTAAGAGATAGATCAAGTATCGACCATCATAAAGACTGAAAAATAAAATTGACAAAGATTATTGTTGAAGGTTGACGGACACGCATGTCTTAATTAGTTTTTTTTTTTTTTTTTTTTTTTAATTGGTCAAACCCAAACTCAAACAAAAACATTGTTTTCAATCGTTATGAGTCTATCGATTGAATAGAATTTTATTATAAACAATTGTTATGTAAATGTAAGTTTTAAAGCATTCTGAATGTAAAAATAAAGAAAAAAATGTGCAAGACAATAAGAAACACTACCTGCCAAAAAAAAAAAGTGAATTTTTTTGTTGAAATCGGTTGAAAAATGTAGGAAATCTGATCCCATATATAAATGAACACACACACACACACACACACACACAAACAACCTGGGTTTTATAAGTATAACTCGATATGAGTTGTCCCCCTTTCATTCTGGCGACAGAATCGTGTTTTCAAATTGATTAACCGTGCAAAAACAATTGTGTTTTTCCAATTTTTGGCGCTGTCAGAACCACTGCAAGGTAATTTTACGCAGTCCTGTGAAGTTTTGTTGAAATCGGTTGAAAAATGTAGGAAATCTGATCCAATATATAAACGTACAGACACACACACACACACACACACAATCTGCGTTTTATAATAAGTAAGATACTGGGGAACATCATTTCACAATGTCATGAAAACATGTATATATCAACAGCAGGCAATTAAGTTTTGTGAATATGTATAAGTATGTCAACAGCAGCAGAATTGTTAATTAGAGCTGTATTAAATTGTCATCTTTGAAAATGAAGTGGCTGTAATTAAAACAAAGACATAATTTAAATAGATGTGGAATAAAACTAATCATCACACAATGGAAAGAGTTGTATCTTTATAAAGGAAAAATAGTAAAATTTGTTTACATATTAATTTTATTGAAATAGCCTAAAAAATAAATGAGATATCCAGCAGTTGAAAATGAAAATTTCATTATTTTGGCATGTTTTCACAGTTGGGGATACCTATTTATAGTCCAAACACAAGGGGCCAAGATTTAATTGTGACTTGAAAACATATATCTATATCTATCTATCTATCTATCTATCTATATATATATATATATATATATATATAAAAAACAACAGGCAATGTAATTTTTGTGAAGATGTATAACTATGTCTACAGCAGCAGGAGTGTTACTGAATCAGTCAATTAAATCTGTTTTGAAAAGCAGTAAAAAAAGTATTGAAACTTGTGCTGAATTTGTTGTCATATTAAATAAAATTGTAAATGCTAAACAAGCTTGAAAAATAGGTGGTCATATGCTTACAGTGTGTACAGTATTAGAAATCTGTGTAATCAATCTAGCTTGTACAACATCCTTCTGTCTGAAAAATGACTTGGTTTATTTTGTTTTACAGCATATCAACCTCAATGGGTAAGATTTTTAGAATAAGGTTGTATAAATAGAATATGTATTCTTTGTAAGAAATCAATTTATAGATCAGGTTTCATTGACATTTTTTTGTTGCAGGTAATTTTTTTTTTTTTTTTTCAAAAAATTGCTGGTATTTTTACTATAAAAATCTATCTTTACATTTTCATAGTATTTTGATCCCAGTTTGGGGGTTAACTATTTGCCCATAGCTGGGACCCTAACAGGGGCTACCATCCCAGGTTAGGGTGGACCTGGAAACAACAGCAATTAAGAAGTGGTTCCACACCCCTCAAAACCTCCTGATCAGAGGCCTTGCTGTCGGATGTAGTTTATCATCCTACCCAGGACGCCCTGAAAAATGGAAAATGTTTTTGTTTTCTTTTAATTCATACTTTAAAATATGTTTATTCATTGGAACAGGAAATATTTCCAAACAGAAGCCATCTACCGACATTTTCGTCTCCTGCTATTGAAGCCAATTTGCATCGGATTCCAGGCATATCAGATAAATTCATTTACTTGAATGATGATGTCATGTTTGGCAAAGAAGTTTGGCCAGATGATTTCTACTCTCATTCAACTGGTCAGAAAGTAAGTATTTTAATTTTTTCTTCTTCTTATCAATTACATTTGTTCCCATTCTGTTTGGATAAAATTCTTTGTTTCGAATATATATTATTATTATTATTACAAGAAAATTACTCTTCTCCATTTAATAGTAATGGTAATATTAGCAGTTTCCTTCTAAAGAAATCTTTGACATTCATTGATGGAAAATATAATTCTTGAAAATAAATCAACTGCTCTATAAACTTATTTAGTAGCCAATATTACACTGAATGACAATAGATAAAATTTTCTTCTCAAACTGTAACCAGAATGCTTTATTGAATCTAGATATTGTTTCTTTGGATGATTGAATTTCTTTTTAGAAATTGAGTGAATGTTATTACTTGGAAAGGCTGAAGCAATTTGATGTTTACCATAGAGCAGTTAGTTCCTAAACTATGAGTCTAGTGGATAAAAGCATCAGCTAAACCAGTAGTTCTCAACCAGGATCCATATGGACCCTGAGAGGTTCATGTAGTATTATTGGGTGTTCACACAAAAAAATAGCAAACTGGGAGTCCACAGTAATATTTTAGTGATCCTTTGAGCAATTTCACTTTGGAACAGTTGTTACAACTGAAAATTGGAATTTCTACAATAATCTACAATGTAAATAGTGTAAATAATTACAATGCCTCATCTCATAAATATTGACAGAAAAAATGAATATTGTTGCCTTTGAAGTAGTCCCCTGTGTGCTTGCTAGTAAGGCCTAGAAATATGCTGACTGAATCTCCTGTAGAAGGGAAAAACCTCTCAAAAAAAAAAAAGGCAACTTCCAAGTGAATGTTTGCAGACTCAAGTATAGATGAAACTAATGTTTACCTATAGATTATAGTCTAGTGTAACCCCAACCAATGTTTACCTGTGGACTCCAGTATAAAGACAACCAACATGGACTTGTTGCAGGAGTATGTAGGTTAGCATTTGATTTGGGAAAACATGTGATTCCTGGAATGCTTATCCCACAAAAAAAAATGGTGACTTGTATGCGTGTTCCAGTAATAAAATAAAAATGAACAACTAAAACCAATATATATACAAACAAATGATAATGTATTATTAAAAAGACAAAAAATTACATTGTTGCAAGAGGCAAAGACAATAATATAGTATGTATGTGACAAAACAATGAGCATGCCTGAAAACATTTAAAGACTAATGAATTATTCATATATGTGTGTGGAAGTCTTAGAGAAAATGAAGTTGCATATGTACATGTGTGTGTGTTTCCCAATGGGAAATGCATTTTCACAATAGACCTACATCCTAGAATATCTAAGGAAAATTGGAAAAAGAGAATGATAAAAAATATTACAGTGTGTTTATAAAAAAAATATTACCGTGTATTATAGGTTCCCCTAGTGGCAGTTTTTTTAGTTAGGAAAGTAAGTGGGGTTAACTCCACAGACTAGTATAAACCCAACCAATGTTTACCTATGGGTTCTGTTAAAATAAAAAATAAAAAACAGTTTTTGACATTAAATAAATTAACAAGTGTTGATATGCCATCAAATCTATCAACCCAACCCTTATCTGCTATTTGTAAACTGGCTTGCAAAGTGTACTAACAAAAGTCTATACTAGTTCTACAAAGTGCATTGTTTAAATCCCCTTAACTTTTCAGTCACACCACATATATGAAATGGTAGATCTAAAATTGCTATATTTATCATCTGATTGATTTTTTTTTTATTTCCTTACGAGTATTTCCCTATGTAATTTATTAACTTTTATTTAGGTTTATTTAACATGGCCGATTCCTAGTTGTGATGAAAATTGTCCAAACACCTGGATCAAGGATGGTTACTGTGATAAGCATTGTAATAATTCCCAATGTGAATGGGATGGCGGTGATTGTGAAGGTTAGTTTAAACATTGCTACCACATTTTTTTTTGAAAGGAAGAATGTTTGCTTATATTGATATTTGTAATTATTATGTGTCCTGTAAATCTTTTAAAGACAATCCTTCATCAGACACTATAGGCTGGAACTATAAAACCACAAAAAGCTTTACCAAATAACAAAAGCCACATCCTAACTTAATTATAATTTAAGATATGAATTATGTTTCCAATGTACATCTTATTCTTTGATTTCATGGCTCATAAAGAAATGACATTAAAGCCCAGAGGAAAGATTGTTTAAATTTAATATACAAGGTCCGGGCACTTTCATAGTGCTTATGAAAATGGAACAGTCTATTTCTATATTTATTTTAATGAAACAATAAATAATATAAAAATTACCTTGCACTAAAATTCTTTTCATCTGAGAACTCTTGTTTTACTTGATTTCATTTTAGGAAAGACAGATTCAGAACCTCTTCATTCAAGGAACATATGGGCTGGAGACATCTCTTTTCAAAGTGATGTCAAACTAAGTAAGTATTGGATGTAGATTAGGTCCATTTGAATTCACATAATGAGGAAAGAGGGCTTGGAAAATTTGATACTCACAGGACATATTGCAGACAAAGGACAGAGGAAAATGGCACATAAACTACCTAATGAGCTTGTGTGGATGGTTGGCAGAACAGCATATAGGAGAGAGAGCAAAAAGACAAAATTTATTAAGATTTACAAAGTCCAGAAAATTGTGGAGTGCCATGATCACCAAAGTCCTGAAGAGATATGGCACATAGAAAAAGTTATTTGATTTTTGAAAATTAATGACAAAATGTAAAAAACTTTTCATGCAATGCATTTTATGCTTTAGCACTTCATTAGACTAAAGTGATGTTTACATTGTATATATATATATATATATATATATATATATATATATATATATAATAAAAAGGCTTAAACACTAATAATTTTTTTCTGAAAATATACATGTATGGGTATTTTTTTTTTTTTTATATATATTTTGCATATGTATGTATATTTTCCACTAATATTATATATATATATATATATATACACACACACACAGAGGATGTGATGGATAAATTACCGCCATTTCATATTTTTAATTCTTCAATTACCCTGTATATACACTGAGTGCGATGGGTAAATTGTCACAATTTTATATTTTTAATTTCACACATGCACATTGTTTTTGATTTTGTTAATTGCACAGTATAGTAGAGTCAGTTGGGCACCATCTGTGAGAAAGAAAAAAAAACCATGATGCAATTTACTCTGCCAGAAATTTGGAAATGGCATGCCTAATAGCTTAGCATTTGCATCAAAAGCTCCAATACAAACATTTCAGTGTATTTGGGTGTCAATCTGAGGACAGATTCGGTAAGAGTTGGATGGCTCTAACAATGATTACGAAGGTATAGCAGCTTGGAAAACTCACTCTGATTGTTCTGATAAGAAAAGAAGTTCCAAATTTGTTGGTAAGGACCTCAGACTCAACACAGAGGACTACATCAAGTGCCTTGAGGAGATAGTGCTGACCTGCGTCAAGAGGGTGACTGCTGGAAGACCCTATGTCTGGCAACAGGACACTGCACCATGCCACACAAGCAGGAGAACCCAGTCATGGCTGTCAGACAATTTCTGTGACCAGACCACTCCTTACATCTGGCCTCCTAATTCTCCAGACTGCAACCCCCTTGATTATTATGTGTAGTGCACAGTTGAGTGAAGGACTAACAAAACTGCTTGTAATATTGAAGATGAACTGAAGGCAATGATTATGGCAACATTCACCAACTTAAACAAGGAGACTGTGCAGAAGAGATGCTGGAGATTCTGAAGTCATCTAGAGGCCGTGATTGAAGGCAATGGTGATTTTATTGAATAAATTTACTCTCTAGGAGTTTGAGATATTTTTGTGTAATTTTAGTAAATATATCTATTAAAATGAGATGTCAATGTTATTTTCATTTTTGCGTAATTTAGACAATTTATCCATCGCACCTTATATAGTTAGTGTAAAAGTTTTCTGACTGATTTTTTTTTTTCTTAGATTTGAATATTACTACTTTTTTACACTTTGATTACAAAATTTCAAAACAATATTGACTTCTTCTAGGTGTCATGTCCATTCAGAACATGAGCAATCATGGTTCTCCACAACTTCTTATCCTCTTTCTTACTATCCCTCCCATTCTTTGTTTTGCAATCCATTTACACAAGCTTGTTACGTAAGTTACTCACTGTTTTGTTCATCTTTCCATCAATATGTCCTTTGAGTGTCAGATTCTCTAAACCCTCTTTCCTCATTCTGCATCCCAGAAATTTGTGTTCTTTTTGTTTTTATTTTCCTTAAAACCTCTTCACTGTTTACATGCTCAGTCCATGGTATTCTCAGCATCCTTCTATATAACCACTTTTCTGAAAGATTGATATTAATTACATAACTGTACAGCACCCTTTTCTTTATTTCTAACAAAATTTTCATGTTTCTTAATATTTTGTTTATCTTTTGGAAGGTATCTTTCGCTATTCCAATGAAGATTTCAGTGTTTTAAATTTCCGTCATCTGTTACAGCACTTGGCATTTACTCTGTACTTGCTTGATTTTGACATCTCCAATTCATAGTTCACATCATGGGCTGTCCCTTTTGCTGACAACTATACAATTTAATTGTGTTACAGCTGATGATCAGTCCTTTCTTCCTGCTTTACTATCTTGTCTCGAAGTCCCTTCAATTTTCTTGCTGTCTGCTATCAACATTTGATCATTGATCAGCTTAAAAAGACTGACTTTTAATCGATATACTTTTAATATAAAAATACTTTTAGCAAACATTTATATAAAGCTGAATGTTTGTGTGCATTTCTTAAGTTAATTATAAATTAAATAAATTGTGACATGAAATAAATGTGGTTATATTTACACTATTTACATTGTTCAAACTGTTGTCCTCATCTTTATTGCCATATTCACAACATTTTGGCCACTGTCTGCTCCAGCTTTTTTCAGGTGATATATGTTGGAATTGTCCATACTGATTGTCCACATCTGGTTTGTAGAAGAACAAAATTGAACAATTAAGCTTTTGTATTAATTACACTACTCAATTATTGAACAAGAAATCGGATAGCTGAGTTTATGTCTGTTAAATTCACTTACGTGCAAATACCCTTGGGAACGGTACAAATCTATCTCTTCTGCCCAAGCGTGTATCATGTATTGTCCTCATCTTTGTTGCTTTTATCGTGACATTTCAGCCATTGTGCTCTCTGGCCTTCATCAAATTTCAATCCAAGTAACCTATAGAGAATTTTGATCTGAACACTTTATTTAATCTATGGTGTTAGACTGTTCTCGTTCCACTATGTTATCTAGAGATATCTAGTTCTTATTTCCAGTACTGATCAGTTATTGCTTGCTGCTTCCACCGAGTCCAAGTACACTGCCCAATCTAGGGATTGAACTTGTAATTATGTCAACAAATTCATGACCCAATGCTTTAATCTACTAGATTATAATCCACTTTAATCAACTAGTCTATTGTTTCATGTAGCATTTTTGTTGTGCATTTAGTAATGAAAATATAACACTGAATCTTTCATATGTAATGTTATTGTTTATTTCATTCTTCCTAAAATCAGATTTTTTTCTGATTCATACTACACTAATTTCCACCACTGGATGTGAATGCTCCAAACACCCAAAACTGAACTATAATTCCATCAACTGCGTAAGGCTCCAGATATACCTTCCGTTTTTACTCACACACTCAAAGAAAAAATAAGCAATACAATCTATAGCACTCACTACCGCCTAAAGAAACAAAATAAAAAATACAACAGATGTGAGCCTAAGAAAGGGCAAAAGACCATCAAAGGGATATTTTCAGCAGTTGGAGGGCATCTTGGCCTAGGCTCACAGACTCCATCAGAAAGCAATCTCCCATTTCCTAGAGACAGCTTTGCCAAGGTCCATCACCTCAGTATGTCATAATTCATCCTCCCTCACCTTCTGTGCAATTAGTGAACATCTTTTTCAAATCCACTTATCTCTTTTTTTCAGTGAGAGACATCTACACTGATTTATCACTTGTTGTATTTTACGTTAATACAATTGTTTATTTCTTTAAATCGTCATTGTTTCTTTGTTAATAACATACTCATGTGGATGTTAGCAATTCTCCCTCTGGAGTGGGTGTTTTTATATCTACTTATCAGTTTTTTCCCCACATAAGCATGGCTTGGTCAACAACCCCTGCATTTGTCCCACTGCACCTGTATTTCAGCATGAAATGATTCTTTTGGGTCCTTGAGTTTGAGACTCCTGGGTTAGGAGGGTCACTTTCAGATCAGCCCATTGGTGCACCAGGCTTCTCTGACATCACACTAAGTGAAAAGTATATTCTGGGGTGAGACATATACTAAACACTCATTTTTACAATTTTTTAAATTTTTTGTCCTAAACTTTGTTCTAGCAACTCTGTACATATGGCATCGAAAATGAAGAAGGTGTTGTCAGTGGTCAGGAACTGGTACCAGTATTACTGACAAAATGGACTGTTGTTTGTATAATTTTACAATACAGGATGCGATGGATAAATTGTCGTCTAAATTACACAAACATGAAAATAACATTGACATCTCATTTTAACATATATTTACCAAAATTACACAAAAATATCTCAAACTCCTAGAGAGTAAATTTATTCAATAAGATCGTCATTGGCTTCAATCACGGCCTCCAGATGACTTCAGAATCTCCAGCATCTCTTCTGCACAGTCTCCTTGTTTAAGTTGGTGAATGCTGCGATAATCATTGCCTTTAGTTCATCTATTATGTTACAAGGAGTTTTGTTGGTCTCTTGCCCAACTGTGTCCCACACACAATAATCAAGGGGGTTGCAGTCTGGGGACTTTGGTGGCCAGATGTAAGGGGTGATGTAGTCGCAGAAATTGTCTGACAGTCATGACTGGGTTCTCCTGCTTGTGTGGCATGGTGCAGAATCCTGTTGCCAGACATAGGGTCTTCCAGCAGTCACCCTCTTGGCCCAGAACAGCACTACCTCCTCAAGGCACTTGATGCAGTCTTCTGTGTTGAGTCTGTGGCCTTTACCAATAAATTCGGAACTTCCTTTCTTATCAGAACAATAATCACCATTAGACTCATCCAATTCTTTCCAAATCCTCTGCACTTGATACCCAAACACTCTGAAATGTTTGTATTGGAGCTTCTGGCATGAATGCCAAGCAGTACAGCATGCTGTATTCAAATTTCTGGCAGTGTTATTGCATCATGGTGTTCATTTTCTCACAGATGGTTCCCAACTGACACTATTACATGGTGCAGTTGACAAAATCAAAATAAACAATGCACTTACATGAAATTAAAAATATAAAATGGCAACAATTTACCTATCGCACACTGTACTTTCATATTAATAGATTTTTTTTTTTACAACAGATAAAATACATATTATTAATTCCCTAATTATTCTATTACAGTTTATTGTAGCAATGGATGTGCTAATAGTTGGTTAGGTGACCGATATTGCGATGATGTAAGTACTTTATCACTCGTTAAGACATAATATTTACTATGAATTCAAATGATATATTTTTTTTTCATTTTGATCATTTCATGCAACTAATATTTAATTCAGTCAGGAAAAGACACTTTGTTTTATAATTCTTTTTCCCTTATTATATCACTGCATTGAAAGATTATTGCTAATTCATAATTTCACTCTATAGGATTTTTAAAAAAATAGTCTTAGTTTTTTTGTTTGTTTCAATATATCATTTGATCCTCAGAATATAAAATGCTTTTTAAAATTGAATTCTGACTTTTAATCCACATTGAAAGTTTCTTAATGCTATTTTAGATGCATTATGTTGAAGAAGGCTGATGAGCCAAATAAAATACTGTAAAAATAAATATGAAACAGATATATTGATTGAATTTAAACATATTTCAAATTTCTTTCCTTTTTTCCTTCAACCATAACTTTCAAATGACTTTTCTTCTGAATTGTAACTTTTTTCTTTTTCCCTTTTAAGCCTTGCAATGTTTATGAATGTGGATTTGATGCAGGAGATTGTGGTATCCAACATTACAATGAACTCCATCATATCAACTTTGTACCAGGCCAGGCTGTTTATAAAGTTGACCCTGGTAAGTTTTAATTATTTTTTTTTCTTTTTACAATAAACATTTTTATTCACCTCATATCAAATAAGCTATATCTTCTTCATAGACAAAGAATTTCATGTATTTTCAGGATGTGGGCAAACATGGCTGTCTACAAATTCCCTTTTTTTTTTTTTTTTTTTCTTTTTTTTCTTTTTCTTTTTTTTCTTTTTTTGTTGCTCTAAATAACTTTAGAACCATTATCATCTCTCTTTTTCCTTGCTCTGCTATCCATTCACTCTAACATATTAAGGACGTTTGTTATTCCTCCCTGCTTCTCTGACATTTAGTATGTCCTCTGAGTTTTAATTTCTCCAGCCCTTCTTTCCTTTTTATGTGTCCCAGGAATTTCAGTCCTCTCTTTCTTACTGTAAGCAGCAGTTTTCCTGTAGTTTCTATTCCCCTTAAAACTTCTTCATTAATCACATGTTCTGTCTGTAAATTAACTACAATTCTCAATTACCTTATTCTTGTAGCAACGAGATATAAATACCAAAATATCTTTAGCCCTATGCCCTTCACCTGTTTATATAACATAGGACAAGGTAACTTATGTCTGTCCCATTATCTAATGGGACCTTCCATTTCTACTCTACACTGTCCATTGTATTTTTAGTATTGATTGGTAGAACCACATCTCTGTCCTTTCAAGTATCTGCTTTATCTGTGATGAGATTATCCAATATTCATTGCCATACAGGAGATTATATATTACACAGCAGTTCAACACTCTTTTCCTCTGTTTCTAAGGATATTTTCCTATCTGCTGTCACTTTCAAAATGTTCCCCCATCGTGAAGATATCTTCATGAGACAATAGTGTCATTCCTGGAAACATGCTTGGAACTCATTTTTCAGAATACCTTTCAGTAATGTAGCCACATGTTGCCTGATGTCAGTAATTATTAGTAAACAACAAATTTTTTGCATCTTACAACTCGGTTGTGATTTTTTTTTTTTTTTTTTTGTCTTCAGGTCAAAATATTTTCTACTTTAATTTGACTTTTCTGGTTGGTGACGATGGTCGAGTGGAAACCGCATACATGCACAGTAATAAAATAATCCGGACTGTTATCATCTCTCAAAAGTTCAAAGTCATGACCTTACTGCTCTATCCAAATCATACAGAGGTTTTGAATTTTTCCCTGCTTTGCCATGAAAAGAATAGCAATCATACTAAACAGGTAAGGGTGTAAATGCTCGTTTGTTTTTGTGCTTTAAATACTGTATATACTCATGTATCATGTGACTGGTGAAGATCTAATTTTAAAGCTAATTTTAATTGCATTGCATCATACATAAGATATAAAATTAATTGGATATATTGTTGACCAAACTATATATCCATTTACTATAGTCAACTTAACTTCAAAATTAGGTCTTCAAAGGTTGCATGATATGGTCATTTATTTTTTAGTTTTTTGAAATATTTTCTTAGGGATACAAAATTTTATTATAGCCATTAACACAATTTTTTTTTTTTTTATACCAAAGATCAAGGAGAAAAAAAAAAAAGAAAGAAAAAAATATAATAAAAATATATAATTCCTGTGATCTGCAAATCAAAAAGGAAGAGAAAAAACAATTGAATATGGAACAAAGATTGGTCAACTTTATTTTTCTTTCTTTTAAATTGCCTGTCTACAGTAATTATAATTTTTCTTTCTTTTTTTATACTTGCTTTTTGCTTAAAATTATCTATTTTAATGACTAGAATAAAATTTATATTTTTAAATGTTACTTAGGCATGACTACTTTTTACCAAGCATACTTATGAAAGCAGATGTGATTTATTGCTCACTTAAGGAAAAGCAGTAGCAACTTATCACCCACTTACAAAGTATTCTTTTCTGTTTTACCAAAACAATTGATTTATTGTCAGCTTATTATTTTTTTGAGCATATTATATTGTAAGCAACCTGTTACAATATGAAATATGTTTCAGTTTTAAATAACTAACAAAACATTGATTTTTAAAAAAAATCAATAATATATGAAACAATTTATTTTAAATTTCCTAATTCTAACTGAATTAAATATTTTAGCTTTTGCAAACCATTGAAATATTTTAATTACAAAAAATAGTTAAATTATTTAATCAATACAGATTTTGCCAACTTTTGCATTATTTTCTAATTTTCAAAATTTACATTAAGAAAAGCTTTTGTTTATTTTCTTATTCAATTTCTGTTTAGTTCTGAAAGCACATGAATGAAATTTATGTAAATTATTTTCCTTGTTATACTTCAGTTAAATTTTACTGTAATGGTTGACACAAAAGCAATGAAATCCGTACATAGTTCCCGTACAAAATTGGATCCTTTAAAAAAATCTGATCCGACAACACCGACAATTCTACTTCAGGAAGAAGAACCAATGATTGCCATACAAAATATATCTACACAGCAATTGTAAGTATTGCTGCCTTCTCATAATATTAAAAATAAGCAATGTTTGTTTGTTTCTTGCATACCCTTTATCTTAAAAACAAAAAAAAAAACTCTTATTTTTAAAATCAGTTAAAATGTTTTAACTTTATATAATTTTTTCAGATACCCCAAACCAAAGAACTCATCATCTATATTTTTTGAGACAAACTTCTCTAATTATAATTTACCACATGATATTAAAGAAACATTGAATATATTGAACAAGTCTTATGAAGAAGGTATGTTGAATTTGTGAATTATGATTTTTTTTTTTTTATAATATAGGTCAGATCAGGTCAGACTTAGGCCTGCTACTAGTAACATGTAACCCAGTACAACCTGCTGCATTGATGGTTGGTTAGCATCTAAAACTATCTCACCCATTAGCTTTACTGCTAGTGAGGTAGGTGGCATGTCACTTTGCAGGACAAAAAACAAGAGCTGTCAAAGGTTGCATGAACTTCATATAGAAGACAACAGCCAATACATACACATACATAATGGTAGGATGGGGTCTCAAGCCTTGAATGGCAACCTTCCTAGAGATGGTGTCTTGATAAAAAAAAACAAAATTAGTGTACTTGGATTACTGGTGTATGTGCTTCAGTTTTTCATAGTAAAACCCGACCTTGTGTCACATCACATCTCAGTGGGAAGACAGGGTAAGCATCTACTTGGATTACTGTGGGTTTCTGAGCTGGGAGTTAGGAAAGGGATCCAGCCTTGTAAAACCTTGCCTCAAATCATTATGATGAGATCCACTGTCAGGCAGGATCCACCTTGCTTTGTGCAAAATTAGTCCTACCTCAACAACAAAAAAAGGGTTATTTTTATATGCAGTGATCCCTTGCTAATTCACGGATCTATCACAGATTCACAACTTTGCGGATTTCTAAAATATATATATGGAAAATATATCAGAGTTTCTGGAAAATTCTAAAAAAATTGCAATATATGAACACCTAAAATTTTTCATTAAACCCATTAAAATATTAATAATAAATATTATTTCCTGGTCTAGGAACAACAAAACAAGCGTAAAATAGCAATAGAAAGGGCACCGTAAAATACAATTATTGGCTGAACAGTAGAAGTCATCATCATCATCATCATCATCATTTCTACTGTGCAGCAAATTCATCACCACTGTCATTCAAATTCTACTTCAACTTCTTTCGTGTTGAATACAGTAACAATCTTTATTTTTTTTTTAATCTAAAGTGTTATTGCTTAACAGTTGTCCTTGATATTAATAGAGTACTGTAATGGGTGGGTTGTTAACAGTACAGGGAGGGTTTTAAAAGTCCAAATACTCGTTAAATAAATACTGTAAATATGACATCCCTACTTCGTGGAAATTCAGTTATCGCGGCCGATCTTGGAACCAATCTGCCGCGATAAACGAGGGATTACTGTATATATATATATATATATATATATATATATATATATAATTTATGATAAGTTATTATGCACTAAAAATAATTGGGATTTTACATTTTGATTTAAGAAAAATCTAAATTCATCTGCATTTGAAATTTTAAAGTTTGGGATTATAAATAGCAAAGAAAACACATGCAGTGTTTTTTGTTTTTGTTTTTTGTTTTTTTTAAGACTTGGAGTCTGACACACAAAGGAAATAGACATCCTTTTTTAAACTTAAAAAAATGATATCTAAAGACTTAAGTAGCATTATTTAGACTTGGAATTTAAGAAAAAAATGTCCTGGGTAAGATGATAAACTACATCCAGCAGCAAGGCCTCTGATTGGGAGATTGGAGGTTTTCAGCAGCATGGAACCACCTCTTAACTGTTGTTGTTCCCAACTCCATCTTGACCTGGGGTAGTAACACCTGTTAAGGTTTCAGCTATGGGTAAATAGTGACTCCTGTCCCCCCCCCAAATACACAGGTCATATTTTTAACACATTTTATAGCAAATTAACAATTAATACAACACTAAAAAAAGTATATTACAGCAATACATTTTTTATAAAAACATTACCAACAATATATTTTGCTAGTGAAATTATCAGCAATACAGTTTATGATCTACAAACTATATATCTAAAAAAACTACCTTTCACCATGAAAGTAACAAATTATGGACAAAATATTTAGATTTCAGTATTAAATAACCCATAGAGGTGTTGATATGATACTAAGCAAAATCAACCAACCCACTAAGAAACAGATTAAAAAGACATCATTTTTTACTCTTTGAAAACATCATTTACTTTTGGGGTAAAGGCATGAACTCATCTCTTCTCTAGCTCATTTAAGTTCTGTCCGATTTCAACTTCATTCAGTTTTACACTAATGCCCTTGTGAAAGGCATGAATCGATTTCTCTGCCATCTATGAGTTAAATAGCTGGGTAAACTTGTCTCTCAAGCCTTTGGTAGCAGCAGGTCTCAAAGGATAACTCAAAACCATATAGAAGACAGTGGGGAACCACTCTTCTATCTCACCCAAGAAATCATGGCAATTTACAGATATTAAAGAAAAGGAATTTGTGGAGTCATGACCACCTACACCCGAAAGGAAATGGTATTCATAGATAAAACAGCATAGTATAATAGGGTCCCTAGCTGTAGATGAGTCAAGGAGGATAATTCTGAATTCAAACAAGTTATTAAGTGTTGGTTAGCAAATTCTTCCCAATTGGGTGTGTAGATAGCAACTCCCACATCCACCTGTCTAAAAACCAAAAGAAAAACAACTTATAACCCCCTGCTATGCGACAAGAAATATGAGTGTTGGGGGTAAATGCACTATAAGGAGAATGTAAAGAATAAATTAAACCTGAACTAAAATTTTCAGGTTATTTTCAATAAAGATTGTTTTAACCATTATGTAGAAGACCTTTGCATTTTGGACTCACCCATTTACTAACAACCATGCATTCTGTCATCTTGCAGTTGATGTTTAATCCTTTCTTTTCACTTTACTTCACTATCTTCTGTAGGAGTTTTTGTATTTTTCTTCTATGTCTACTACTAACAAAGTGTCATCTGCATATATTATGTTGTCAAGATTGTGGTCACCAATAATGAATCCTGGTAGGATTTTTAATTCTCTCAGAATTACTTCATTGTGCAGGTTGAATAAGTTTGGTGAGAAGACACCTTGTCTTACACCCCTTTCTATTTTTGTATATCTGCTGAACTCTTTTTCTATCCATATGCTGACAGTTTACTGCCAGTATAGGTTCTTGATTATTCTAATATCCTTCTCAAACATGTCAAGGTTGCTAAGCAGTTTTAACAGGTTTTTGTGGCATATATTATTGAACCCATTGCATAATCTATAAAATAGGTACACATCGTTCTGCATTTGTATTGCTCTTTCTGATATCGTTCTGTGCATAAATATTGCGTTCCTTATTCCAGTGTCTTTAATGAACCTGCACTGTTTTTGTCCTATTTCTGGTCTGATTTTGCTAAGCCTATATTCATGAGAATTTGTGTGATAAGTTTTGTTATATGGCTCACTAGGCTGGTTGTTCAGTGGAATTCACATTTGTTTGCACCTGGCTTCTTAGGAAGTGGTATGAAAATAGATCTATTTAGGTCTTCTGGTAAATCATCACGTGTAGATTTCATTTATCATTTCTGTAATCTTGACTCTGCCAAAATCGTCTAAGGCTGCCAGCATCTCTATTACAATTCCATCTGGCCCTGCCACTTTGTTTCTGTTCAATTTGGCCAGTGAAGATTCCACTTCAGATTTTAATATTTATGGTCCTTCAATATTTCTGTGTATTGCCGGTTGTTCTCTTTTGTCATGGAAGAGTTCTCTACTATATTCATTCCATCTCTAAAGTATTTTTTCTATCTGTAATATCAGTATTTCATTCTTAGATTTTATGCAGCCTGTTGATGACCATGTCTTTTGTCCTGTTCTCTTATTTTTCTTTTTATGCATTATCTGTTATACTCATTTTTTTCTATTTCTGTACATTTTTTTGTTGAGCCATTCCTCTTTAGCCTACCTACATTTGCTCTTGATTTCTTTGTATAGAGTCTGATATTCTGTTCTGTGTCTCCCTTTCATCATGTTGAGAATTTAGATTTTAATGATAGTTGTGTGTGTCCTAGCCTGTTTAACAGGGACCCATTGTGTCACAATAAAACAAAATTTAACTGTTTTATATGATGAATTTTTATAAATAATCTCTGAAAAATAGACTTGAAGCAACAGAAATGTGATTCTAAAGAAGGATGTTAAGGATACCATGGAAGTAATGACAAAATGTTAGAGAAAATGGAAACAAAAAGGAAACTTATAGTCAACATCAGGAAGAGACTGTTGAAAATTCTAGAGCACATATTGAGGAAAGAGGGCTTGAAAAATCTGTTACTCACAGAACAGATTGTAGTGGGACTAGTTTAAATTTCCTATTTGATTTCTAAACTTTAGAGATTTGAGTCTTTAAATGAATGAAGCATACTGCAATGGTTTACCAATTAGACCCGCTTGCATATGCTCAGGTATCCTTTAAAAAAAAAAAAGAAGAAAATTACATAGTTTTCATTAATTTCTTTCTTATTTTTCCTATTCCAAAAATATATTTTTTTTTTATTTTTTCAAGATTTCTTAACAAAAATAAAAACATTGCAGCTTTTCTAAGCTGATGTTAGTCTTTATTGTTGTTTATATTAAATTGGCAGTTGTTTTTTTTTCCTGTTCAGGTGACCTTACAGAAAAAGGATTCAAAATAAAAAAATACCGTTTATGGAAGAAATTCATACAAACCAATTACACAATTAAAATTCCAAACAGTTCACTGGAGAAAAAATTGAATGGATCTTTAAATTCAAACCCCAAAATAACTGCGACATTAAATCATCCAAGCCAAAATCCAAATTTTGCTGAAAAGGAATTCCAGCCTTATAGACCTGAAAGACGTCATCTGTTATCTTTTCCTGATGATTTCCTTCAACCTGGAGTGTTCCCTTGGGAAAAGAGTAATGGCTTGATCTTTAAATTGCAAAAGGTGAGTGCTTTAAATATTTCTTTTTTTTTTAAGACTCAATTCAGGATTAAGTCAAAAAATAATTAATCCAATTATTTGTGTTCAAAATTGTAGATTTCCTTGTTATTTGTGTTGTAGATTTCCTATTCGGATTAATCAACTAATTATCCAATTTTATCCATTTTCCAATATGAGAATAAAAAAAACATTGTTAAGGAGAGAGAACAATAAAAGAACTGGAATTAAGAGGACCGAAGATAACAATTGATGTTGAATTTAAATTTTTGAAAATCAAAGTTGACAAAGTTCTTGGAAAGCAAGAGAGTTCCACAAACAAGATGATAGTATTACATTGGCTCTGCATTTTAACCCTGAAATAATTGCCTCTTATTTATTTCTATGGGAACTACAACAGATAAAGGATAGAGAAAGTTTTCAACTAAAAAACAAAAACACTCTTGGCTATGCATTTTTGCTCAAAAAATGATGCCTCCTATTTATTTCTACAGAAACTACAGCAGATTTTTTTTTATTTTTAATCGTTTCACCCCAAGCAAGGGAATAATGCTGATAAGATGCAAGGGGTTACTGGGAGTGAAAAGAGAATGAGAAGACTTTAGTGAGGAGAAAGGGCAATAAAAGAACAGGTTTCAGAAAAACAGATGATGACAATTGGCATTGTATTTAAATGTCTGATGATTGTAGTTAGCAGGGAAGCAAGAAACTGGAAGAGAATTCTACAGGTGAGAAAAGAAACTATTAGAATAGAACTGACGGTTGCATCTAGCTTGTTCAACTGTAAAACGATGAGAATTAATAGATAATCTAGTAGCACACTTACAGTTTTATACAGATACAAGTCATAATTGGTTATGTTACCTAAGTAAACATATTAGCTGACCAGCTGAACATTGCATATAAAACTCCTCACTAACGTTTTCTCATTTTCTCTTTCTCTCTCAGTAACCCCTTGTGTGCATCTTAGTGACATTTTCATCTTGATTGGGGTGAAATGAGAAAAAAAAAACAATAAATACATAAAAAAAATTCTTGAAAATATGAATGAAACAATCTTTGAAAATTTGACATGTTTCTCTATTTATCTTCATTAGAAAATTTTGGAGTGAAATGATTTTGGTTTTATATTCAATTTTTAAATTCTATGTTGTTTTGTTGTGATTTGTTGTGTCTATGTCATGTGTATCTTGGCATTAGTGTTTATGTAAGCTTCAATTTTTTAATTCTGTGAAACAAAACAAACATAGAATTAAAAAAATCTGAAACAAATATAAACACTAACACCAAATATGATATTTACACAACCAATCAAAGCAAAACAACATAGAATTTCAAAAATTGAAATATAACTCAAAATCATTCCATTTCCAAAATATCTCATGAAGCTAAATAAATAGTGAAACATGTCAAATTTACAAAAGAAACGGTTATTTGTTATTAAATTTGGTAAACCAATATGATAATAATTTCAAATAGTTCATGGATTTAGCACTCAGAAAAGAAATGAATTGTGCATTTAAATGTTATCATTGATATTTTTTGATATTATTATTGAACAGGCCTACAAAATAAGAAGCTTGCCTCATGAGATATTTTTATTTTATTGTAACATTTTTTCCTGATGTTCTGAATCTAATAACCACATACATTTCTTGTCCATCACATCTAAATTTTTTTTTTTTTTTTTTTTTACAAAATCAGCCAGACTGCAAAAAATTCTGTTTAGACCCTCAAAAGTTGCAGAACATGAACCTGATTACAATCCCTACAAAACACTGGATGAAAATAACACCCTTTTATTGAATGCAAACAAATTGTGCTACAACAGAAGATAATTTCACAAAATTCTATCTCAGTTTTCCTTTTAAAGACTATCCATGGGACAATAACTTAATGGATTAAAGCAATGTTTGATGAATTTACTGACATAGTAATTGTGAGTTCAATCCCTGGGCCACACAATGGAAACAGGGTGTGCAAAAACTGAACAATATTGAACAAGACAAGATATTCCCCTAGATTAAATAAAGGGTTCAGTTCGAAATTCCCTGATGGCTATTTAGATCAACAAGCACCTAATGAAAGATGGAGAGCACAACAGTCAAAACGTTGTGATGTTCAACTTACCACATTGACTTCATATCCCTTCGCGCCGTCCTTATTCTGGTGTCGGCCTTTGCGTTGGCCTAAGCTCTTACTCACCCTTCGCATCAGCCCTACACCCTGTTATTGATTTCATAGCTGGAGGAAAATGGATTCATGCCTTTTCCAAGGTCATTAGTTCAAAATGAATGAAATTGAACCTGACGTGCCAATTACACTTTCCACACTCATAACTATTATGTTAGCTGCACATCCAGCATTGTAATCAAAAGCAATAAAAGATGATCCTAACTTAAAAAATTAATAATAATGGCAACAATGTTTCATCTAACAAATTCAGGCAACTTCAGATTTATTATATTTTGGCTTTGTTAAACTGATTCATTCATTTTTTTATGGCTTATCAACCTTTTGCAGGTTATTTAAAAGCCAGAAATTTTTCTTTTTCATTGTAAGACTTTTTGGGGAATAATAATGATTTTACTGATACAAGTCCTACTAACTAAGCCATAGCTAGGAGGAGAAGAAGGGAATTCATACCTTTTCAAAAGATATTTGTGCATAAGTGAATATAATGAACCCAACTGGAATTGGAACTCGACTCCCGATTTTCAGTTCAAACCCATTATCCATTGCACCACTTGCACATCAAAGCTGATATTCCCAAGAGGTCACTCCTCTAGGTACTGACCAGGCTTGATGATCATATGAGAACTGGTGTTTCAACATGGTATAGCCTTAAGCTTTGGCTTTATCAAAATCAGCCTCAGAACTGAAATGGCATCTACTTAAAGAATATCTCTAAATTTTCTAAATGATAAATTTTATTATTTCAGGAACTGGAAAAAAGACAGAAATATGAAAGGGTTTCTCAATTCCAAAGAAAGTTGCTTGATACTTTTGGAGATTCCATACGTCATGTCAATCGTTTGTATAACAAGGCATTCGGCTATACTTCGCGTAAGGTGTTGGCTCATATTCCACATATGATTGACAAGAACGTCATGAAGGAATTGCATGACTTGTACGTATTAGATTTCTTTGTTTTTAATATTTTTTAAAGAAATGAGAAATAATTGTTTTAACAAATTAGAAATTAAATGGCATTTATCTAAAGAATACTATTATAATTGTGCTTGTCCCTTCTATCATTAGTTTGCATGACCATTACACCTTGCCAATATCTCATAATTAATGAACTATTCTCTTATGACAGCATGGAAAGAGAGGAAAAAAACATTACTTTGGTTTCAGTGAGAAAATGAAAGAAAGAAGGGAAGATAGAAGTGTTTAGCATCTCCTGCCATTACCTCATAAATAATGGACTACTCCATTTTGATTGGGTAGAAAGAGAGGAAAAGACAGTACTTGATTTTAGTGAGAAAATGAATAAATAAAAGAAAGGATGAAATACAGAAGTATTTAACAGCTGTTTCAGTGAAATGGAAAAAATTGTCAATTTCAAATCTTTTCATTTGTACCCACCAGCTTTATGATTATTATTGCAACATTTTATTTAAGTTTTTAAGCTCGAATATTTAATGATGCGATAGGGGAATTTCTACGGATATTTTACTGTCGTAGAACTTGTCTTGAGCTTACTCCATCATTAACTTAAGAATTATTAAGATTCATCAGAATATTAAAATAGGAAAACTGAAATTTTCAAAGGTTATAAAACTAGTATCAAATATTCTCTAAATTATAAGAGAGTACAATGGCTGAGACACTGAGAATAACAAAAAAGATGGGGATGTTAATTTGAATGTAAATAACTCATTCCAGACATTTGGACATAAAAGTTTGTACCTTGCATTGCATTTATGCACACAGTTTTTCTCGTTCTGTTTCTAAGCCCACACACACTTATTTACTACTTTAAATGTTATATTTGGTGAATACATGTGGTTGAATAGACATCCCCATATTTTTATGTCAACCAGCCTGTGCAATAGAGAGTCTTTAATAAAGAAAATCTGCCCTTCAGTAGTCCTGGATATGATGATAAACTACATACAGCAGCAAGGCCTCTGAATTTGAGGTTTTGAGGAGCATGGAACCACCTCTTAATTACTGTTGTTCCCAGGTTCACCCTGACGTAGGATGGAAGCACCCATTAGGGTCCCAGCTATGGGCAAATAGTGAACCCCCCCAAACAAAAACAAAACACTGAAAGTAAAAATACATTTTTATAGCAAAAATACCAGCAATACATATTTATAAAAAATTACCAACAATAAATTTTATCTGCAATTGAAGCCATAAAACTGTGTTGAAAATATTTAGAGTTTGATATTAAATCGAATCAAACAATGAACATGAAAGAACTCTTTAAGATATTAATCCATATAATATCCTACAATTTCTTAAAGAAATCAAACTTTATTCCTAAATATTCCAACAACAAAAACATGTAACCAGAATAGAAAATAATGATATAATCAAGATGTTGACTTTCCACACTACTAAAAGCAAAAGAGTTGGAAGGAAACTCCCATCAGTACTAGAAAGAGTGATAACATCTACTGGATTTGAGAAGCCTATTTTCCTGAAAAACTGTTTTAAGAGAAAGATTTTATAAATTTCAACCAACTGTATCGCTATCTGTTCAGTCAATGAATGCCAAATATTTCCTGTATGGAAATTTCACTATTATTATTTGTGTTAAAATTGGAATAGCATAATTTAATAATCTAGGGGTATTGAGTGGGTGAACAAATGTCATCTTTCAAGAGATAGAACTTTAGGATAGTAATTTTCAATGTGGATGGTAATACCTCCTTGAATGTGCTATAAACTGTCAAGTATTCAGAGGAGTTATAGGAGTGCACTATAATTTTAACAGTGCAGTTGATTTAATTACTTGACCCCTAACTGGGTCAAGTAACAGAATATGCATTGGTTTATTGTTTTGTCTATATATTGACATTAAAAAAAAAAATAAATAAACACAATCTTGTCTTGAAGAAAAAAAACTCAAAATTGTTATCCAGTGTATTTCTGGAAGATAACGCCTTTTAATACATTGAATGCCAAATTGTTTTTGTGGTCTTGCCATCAAGGCTTCAACTATGAGTTTTTTTCATTGTTTTTAATGCAAATAGCTGGTACCTGGGATGAAAAATTGTACTGGAAACCAAAGAAAAACTTTTTATTTGCAGTGATACTTTTAGTGTGAAAACAATGTTAAGTCTTCAATTGAAGCCATAAATTGACTCATAAAAAGTTTTATTGTTAAGTTGACATTTGAAGTAATTTCGTAATTGACCTCTAGCAGTCTGTGTGTTAAGGCAAGTAGTCTTTGTAATTAAAGTGCTCAATATCAAGAGATAGATCATTAATACTAAGAAATAAAATTAAATGTTCAGTTAATCTGTATCTATATTTTGGGTATATTAGTGCATTTTAATTGTATAATACAATTAAAATACACTAGCCAATTTTTTAATGCACAATGCATTAACACTTCAAGAATTAAGTATACATAGGTATATAGATAGATCGTCTTTTTCATGTTGAATTGAATATGGTCTATGTTAATTATGTTTTATGAATATCTCCTGAAGATGGTCTATTAGACCGAAACGTCCGACATTGACATTATATTAACATTAAAACAGTATAATTGCATATTAGGATTTTTGTTTGTTTTTTCCGTATATTTTTCTTCATACATAGATATATAGATAAGGCTCACACAACTATTGAAAACAAAACAACATAGAATTTAAAAATCAATACATACATAAACACTAATGCCAATGTACATGTGATGCCTATGGAACCGAGGAAAAAAAAAAATATAGAATTTAAAAATTGAAACTTAACCCAACATTATTTTATTTCCAAAATTTCTGATGAAGTTTGTAGGGATATCATTATTATAAATAAATAAAATATAAAATAATAAAAAAAAATTATAAATAAAATAAAACAATGATATATAAGACTCGTTTAAAAAAAATTAAATAAAAAAAAAAAATAAAAATAATAAAATTACTACCAGCATGCAACAAAAATTGTTCCTGCCAGAAATATGGACATCTCGGCAAAAGATGTTATTGTTGTATTGCCGACACTGTGGTTTGAAATTAGATTGCCAGTGAGTAACATGGGTGATTCCATTATTAAGTAGATCACGTGATGATAAAGGAAGTGGATAAATAGGAAGTAGCGTAATGACTATACGATCACTGTTCACTCTTCTTATCTATCCACTATTGCTATATGTTCACTCTTTCTACTCTATTACTATATGGATTACGATTCTCTTCTGATCATTATACTATTTGGTGATTACTACTTGAACAAGTATTACTGGTGTAGATATTATTGGAAGGCATTACTACTACTACTGGTGACTACGATATCTCGGATATAAAGAGCATTTTTGAAAGTGATAACAAGCTTTCGCTTGACATAGCAAAAGTGACAAGCGAAGCCATCCAACATCACAAATGTGGTGACAAGAATTCGCAAGGAATCACAAAAGTTATATTCAATCCCTTCACCAAGAACCATCAGGAAGGCAACACGTGTAACTTCTCTCTGTGATATGACTTGTAATACTACAGAGTAAATCACTCCCTTTTATAACATGTACCATAACACTATTGTAATGTAAAAAAGATACACACACCTATACACACAAATACATAAATAAAATTGTATGAAATTAACATAGAATTTATCATGCTTTTCCTGTGATTGTGTACATTTATTTTCCTGTTTTTATCTTGTGAACACAAGCCTAAAATTGTTACCACGATGATGTGAGTGAATACAGCACGAGCTAAATAAATTGCAAAACCAATAAAATTTCTAAAGATGTTCCTACTTGTTCTTTATCTAATTTCTGATGAAATTACGTTTTTGATAGATTTCCACAAGAGTGGGAAGTTACAAGTTCACACCGAATTCGAAGTTCAGACGATATGCAATTTGCATTTGCATATTTCTACTATTTGATGGGAGTCACCGTGGAAGTAAACCCTGCCGAAATATTTGATGAGACCGACACTGATATGTCTGGGTAAGTTCAGTTTTTTATTTCAAGTCATTACAAGACGAGGAGTGCAAGGTTTTTCTCTTTTAATTCTAACTATATGTCAACACTCACATATAAGGAATACTTCTTTTCAAATTGTTAAAAGCAAAAATATCCAAAGAAACCTGAAATAAAAATAAAAGGAAAATATATTTGCAATGTGATCTATATTTTCTAATGAGAGATTTCATTGTTATGGTAACATGAGACACATTAGCTTACTGTCTTAGATAGATTCACCTATTGTCTGGTTCACACTCCTCCTTTGAACAGAAGTAGAAGTTATCTCTTCTTTTCTGTTTAGGATTCAGTTTCCAGTTCTTTCTAAATTCTACTACAACTCTATATTTCTAACATCTCTACTTAAAATTTATGCCATTATTTGGTTTCTGGTTCCTTCTAAAATCTTTTTCCTCTTTTTCACTTCCAGTAGCCTCTTGTATATTAGTGATATTATCACCTTGCATGGGGTGAGTTGATTAAAAAACAAAGAAAGAGTAATGTCTCATGTTACCATAGCAACAGAATGTCGCATTATTAGTATATAGGAGAGCTAAGACTGTGTGACAGATGAATATATAAAGTTCAGTTGTGTTTTATATTAAAGATGGAAAAGTTTTGTGGTCAAATTATAAATTCAAAACTGAATTTCAGTTTTTCAATCAACACAGAGTTCTTGAAAAGCCAAGCAATAGCAAGCATTAAAATTTCTTTTCCTTCTCTGATGTATAGGTGTATGCTAAATTTTTTTTAAATCAATTCCCCCAAGCAACACAATAATGCCACTAAGACACAAGTGGTTATTGGAAGTGAAAGAGAATGGAAAAGACTTTAGAAGTAACCAGAAAACAAATCCTAAACAGGAAACAAGGGATATACCTCTACTCTTGTAAAGACGTGTCTGTTGTAGAATGAGTTACTGTATGAAAGTCATTTGTCATAAATTTGCAGCAGTTGGTAGACCCTTAAAGAATTATAGTAGCAGCAAGTGAATTGTCTTGTATCCTCAAGATAAACTCTGTCAGTTGGTTTCACATATTCAAAATTGTCTGTATTAAGTTTTTGTATATTAAAATAATCAATAACAAACTTTCAAAATTTCTTTCTTTTTTTTTCTTTTTTTACAGAGTTCTATCAGATCGGGAATTTAGAACATTGGCAACAAGACTGTATACTCTTCCTTTAGATTTAGTCGTAAGTAGAAATTCCAATATCCATCTCTGCCTTGATTTTCTGAAGAATTTTTAAATATTTTGTTACTGAAAGTTTTTTTTAATCATTATTAACTAGTTTAATAACTGTTGCTTCCCTGATGACAAGATGAGCAAATTTCAAATTTAAATTGTTTGTTCATTTAAAATACTATATTTATTAGAAATTATATTTGGTTTTAGTACAGGAGTCCTGAAAATGACTTCAAAGGACTGCACATTTCAACTTATACACTTTTACTTTTATCCAGAGGTTGTTCCCAGAAAGAAAGTAAAATTAGCCTTCATGACACAGATGTCTATTTCAATTTGATTTAAATTGCATCTGCACATGTATATTTTAATTCAATTGTAAACCTAAAAATATTTCTAAATAATAAAAAAAAATAAAGACTTAAAAAAAATCTACTCATGAAAAGTTAAATAAAATTCTATTTACTTTTTTCTTTTTTTCTCCTGCTTTTCGATTTTATTGATCAGCCTAGACTAGGGACTGTCCAGACTGAGAGGGCAAGGCATGTTTCATTTCAACCTCAACCAAATTGTGTGTGTGTGTGTTAAATAATAATTTAGAAGACTATTATTTTTAAGAGAATTGTATTTCTACTCTGACTTCCTCATTCTGACCTTTGAGGTCAGATACAGAAAAGCAAAGAAGTTGATTTTGATTGGCTAAAACTAGCATGGGAATGTCAGATAGAGAAAGAGATTTCAGGGAGTTAAGTCTTACACATCATAGAACGTAGACATGGTATTTTCATGTCTGGGAACTTGCTCCCCTGTGGTGGTGGTGGTGGGGAGTGAAAGTGCAACCCCACTGGCTTGTTAGAAAATGTACACATTGATGTGTTGAATAAAATAGTTAAGTTAAAATTCCTTTGTTGAAGTTCTCTTTCTCAAACAAAACAACTAGCAATCACCCGGACAAGAGAAGAAAGAGGAGAGAGAGAGAAGATCCAACAATATGAGTGAATCGATGTCATCAACCAAGACCTCCCCACAATGAAGTTGAGTATTCAACAGTGTATTAATTGAAGCCATCGTCCCAAGACCAACCCCAGAAGAAGAGGCTATGCAACATGTGTACATTAAATGGTACAAGTACATGTGAGTCACTCATGCAGAATGCAGACATATGCATATATGTGAGAGAAATCACATGCAGACAGTGTGTGATGGACAAAGAATTAACACTTATTTTTATAGTATAGATTATAACTTTAAAAAAACAAAACAAGTGATGAAATCTTCTCAGACAAAAGTTTTGATGTTTGGTCATTTAGTCACATTTCAGGAAGTGGGTTGGGCCAAGAACTTTTCACCCTCCTGTATAGTTTTCATGGTGTTTCCACATTTTAATCACAGTATATATACATACATGCATAATGGCTGGCAACTTGTATCCGAGGATGCCCTTCTACTAGAGCAGCTAGCTAATCCTCATTGCAGATTCCTGCTTAGGTATATTTGTGTTTGTTCAACACCCACAGAGCCCACCTATGGTTTATACTGCAACTATGCTGAGCAGACCTTAGTTACAGTTTCTGGCAGAGAGAATGTTATCTAGCATGAACAACAGTCTGAACAAGGCCAGAACACTCAAATACTTTGTCACAATGACCCCCTTCAAGGTTCCATCTATCCAATTTAATTCACAAGGCTTGTGTTATGTCAATACATATGGTTTTCAGACACTTTCCATAGATGCCATATGCTAGCATCACCACCTCCAGACTGATAACATCAAGAGGTCACCTTCCTAAAAAATTGACCCTATTGAGATTCAAACATAGGTCTCATGGAGATCTAAGGGAGAGATTATAGTTGTTCCAATAAGAGAAAAATGTAGATTTTTAAGGAGAAAAAAGCCACAAACGTTTTTGGTTATAATGTGGATTTTTTTAAAAATATATATAATACTTTATTTTCCATATTTTGCTACATGTAGTAGTAATCCAAATATTCTCTTGACAAGTCCAAGAATATTTGGATTACTACTACACACAAAAGACAATGGTTAAACATTGGAAAATATAAGGAAAAATTAATTCCTTTAAATAATATGTGGAAATAACCACTCTTCACCTGAAGGTCACAAGATCCAAAACACATGTAGCAAAATATATAAAATGAAGTATAATCAGTCAGTTATGTGCCATGCATGATACACGCTTAGGTGATACATACATAACTGATGAGGCAGATTTTTTCCTGCAGTAGGTTGCCATTTCTTTCTGTGGTAGACCAGTTACCATCCAAGGCTATAGAACCCATTCTGTCCTGCTATTTTACCTATAGCTGGAAGGGGGAGAAGAAAAGGATTCATACCTTTCCCAAGGTTATTAGAATGTAAGTGAATGTAATTGATTTGACTGGAATTCGAACTTGGCTCTTCAATTTCTCAATCTCAGCTGGTATTCATTACTCCACAAAAAATCCACATTATAACTAAAAACGTTTGCAGCTTCTCTTTTCTCTTTAATATATATAATATATATATATATATATATATATATATATATAAGGTCATCCCATAAGTTCTGTCCGAATTTTAACTTTTTGTTAAAATGAATGAAATTTAAAGAGTATTTTATAATGTCTAATGGAGCTGAACATTATTTTTATGTTTAGATGCATTTAAACTGATCAAATTTTATTTCAGAGAACAATAAAATTAAATTTTGTTTGATTAAAACCCTGCTAACATGGAAGTACCCAAGAATCATTTGAGGCACATAATGCTTTTTATGAGTTCAAGAAAGAAAACTCGCAGCCGAAGCAGCTAGAAACATTCACTCAGTTTATGGAGAGGAATGTGTGAATGAAAGAACTTGCAGAAGATGTTTTGCAAAATTCAGAGGTGGAGATTTCACCCTTGAAGATGAAGATCAAAACGGACATCCAGTTGAGTTTCATGAAAAGCTTCTTAAAGCAGCCCTTGAAGAAAATCCTGCTTTATCAGTTGAGGAATTGGCAGTGGTTCTCAGTTCAAACCATACAACTGTTCATCGTCATCTTCAACAACTTGGAAAAGTTCCTAAACTTGGAAAATGGGTGCCTCATGAATTGTCTGAAAACAACCTCAAATCTCAAGTTGACGTCTGCTCTTCTCTCCATTCTCACCAACTTGTTTCACCTTTTTTGGATAGACTTGTGACTGGTGATGAAAAATGGATCTTTTATCGAAATGTTAAGCATCGTAGACAGTGGTTTGGTAAAGGGGAAGGACCCCAGCCACAGCCGAGAAGAGAACTTCATGGGCAAAAGGTTCTTCTTTCAACCTGATGGGATCACCAAGGAATAATCCACTTTGAATTCTTACCACCTAATGCAACAATTAATGCTCAAATATACTGTCAGCAATTAGAGTGTTTGAACCAAGCTTTGAGGAAAAAAAAACCCTGCTCTAGTGAATCAAAAAGGGGTAATGTTTCATCAGGACAATGCGCGACCCCACACAGCAAGAATCATGTCGCAAAAGATCAAAGAACTTGGTTGGGAGAAAATTCCTCATCCACCTTATTCTCCCGATTTTGCTCCTTCAGACTACCATTTGTTTTGTAGCTTACAGAATCATTTGGAAGAAACAGCTTTTGTAACACAGGAAGAGGTTAAAACTGACATTTGTGAGTTCTTCGAATCAAAGCCAAAAGAATTTTACAGTAATGGAATTAGTAAGCTTGTTAATAGATGGAAGGAAGTAATAGATAATCAGGGAAAATACATTGTTGATTGAATCTGTAATTAAATGTAACATTTGGTCACTTGTTTTCTTTATTCAAAATTCGGACAGAACTTATGGGATCTTCAGGTAAAATTAGAACAAATGTGGTATAATTCCACTGTACACTCGGCAGTAGTTTACCATCGCCCTAGGAGACAAATTTGTAGTGTTGAAACATAATTGCAATTGTGCAGTGATTTTTAACCTGTTTTTGTTTTAATAACCTAAAATAAATAATTGTGTGTGTATATATATAGGATTAATAAAAATATAAACTTTGTTACTTAGTTGATTGATGTTATATTCAGCATCACAACTTTAGAGTTTTTTTAGACCCTTTTTTTAATCATTCAGTCCATTCATCAGGGGATATCAGTAATTGTCTGACAATTTTCTCATTTTCATTATTTTTATATTAAATTAAAAAAATAATTTATGTGCTTTTTATTGGTGTTAGGTTGATTTTTTTTTCTTCTTTTTATATATGTGTGTGTGTGTGTGTGTGGAATATTGTGGTTATTTCTTAGCAATTTTTTTTAATCATCCCTCTCACCTGTTCTGCTGTCCATTTACACAAGCTCATTGGGTAGTTTACTTGCTGCTTTCCTGTCCCACTTGCCTATGAGTGTAAAGTTTTCCTAGCCTTCTTTTCTCATTGTGCCAGAAATTTCAACCGTCTCTCTTTAATTCTATGTGTAATTTTCCTTGTTGTTTTCATCTAAATAAATTAATGAATTGTTTTTGTTACAGACATTGTCCACCTTAGAAGCCAAAATTATAAATTGTTCTGAAATTTATCCTGAACTAGAAAAAGAAGTGCCCGAACATATCAAAGAGAAATACTATGAAACCAAAATGGTAACATATTTTTTTATTCTTTTATTTTTCAGTTTTGCAGAACATCTCATTTTCTATTAAATAATTATTTATTTAATACCATGTCTCTTCAAGATATCAGGAATCATGGCTTTCTCTTGCTCTCAAGTCTCATAGATTCCATCTGGGGAGTATGGAGGCCACAGCTTTAACAGGCTAGATATCTTGCTGCTGTGATTTCCATATCAAGTAGGTTTTTCATGGGATAGTGTTGCTTGGACCTATGCCCAACTAGTTTTGAATTTAGAGTTGTCCTCCTTCTAGACCAGTTGCCAACCAAGGCTGGAAATCCCAGTCTGCTCTCAAGAGCATTTACATGAAAGTGAATGTAGTAAACTTTACTGGAATTTGAATGTGTTTAGCTGCATTCAGTTTAGTTTTCAAAAAATAATGACCCAATCTACTTTTAACACAATTTTCTTTCCTCACTCACCCAACTGATGATGACTTGAAAGCTTGGACTACACAAAATGAATTTTGTCCAATTTTCCACTACAATTACAAAAGAATATTTGTACATTAGAAAAAAAGTCATTAAATTTAGTAGACATAAAATGTGTATTGTTTTTAACAATATATATATATTTTAAAGAAAAACAGACCACTTTAAGGTACTATTATAATAATTTATTTCATCAGAGCCCTTTTAAAGGACACCAGATCATCAGATAGCACATCTTAGTTTTTTCTTGTTTTTTTCATTTTCCTCTTTTCTTTCAGTTGTAGCCATTTGTAGCTATTTATTTCTGGATTATCGTTTTTAATTTTTAAGCATTCTAGTTTTTCTTGAACTAGGAAAGTTGTATTTCATTTTTTACATAAATAATTGATATTAATGCTTAAATAATAAATATTTTTATATATCTTAGCTATTATTTCATTTTCTTCTTTGGTTTTGTGGTATCTTAAGTATTAATTGTAGGAGGCTAGGTTTAAAATTAAATTTTTGAATTTATGTGTATATGCCTGTATTTATACGCTTATGCATACACACATGCACATTCATGTAAGTAGGTATAAGCATATACACATGCACATATATATATACACATAAATGCATGTACACAGGCACATGTACACTTATATGACTGATGTTCAGCATTCTGACTCCAGATTTTAATAGACAGACCCACCAGGAATCACTTCATCCACTTATCACAAGGTATCAGCAATTGATTGCTTATACTTCTCAATTTTTCTTTATTGCACTTTTCATTGGTGCAAGTTTTTTCAGAATGTGTGTGTGTGTGCCTACACTCATGTGTGTACATGTAGAATGTTGTAGTTATTTGTCCTTGTCATTGTTTTTTTCAATTTACACTTACTCCTTAATGATTTCTCCTCCAATTGTAGCCATTTTGACTTCCATTTTTATAGACATTGACTTTGATAATTCTTGAGCATCTTAGTGTTTTATAGTCCAAAATTTGATTTCTTGTTGTTAGAGCATTTGTAGATAGAAACAATGTAGACATAGAACTCAACATTGCATGGTGATTGGCAGTTTAACTCCTTGAACTATCTTAAGGCATGACACTGCCAATTATCATGCAATATTGATTCCTAATTCTCTCTCTCTCACACACACACACATATATATATTATATATATATATATATATATATATATATATATATATATATATTAGTGATTAAATAGCACATTTTTATTATCTTATATGTAGGAATAGGTAATTTTTTTTTAGTTAAGTGTGTTTTTAGTACATTTAGACATTTCTTTACAGAAACATTTATATATAAAGATTTTATATCTAAACTGGTCATGTATTTGTTTTTTATATCTGTTTTTTAATTTATTTAAAGATCACCAGAGTTTTTAGAAAATTGCCACTTTAATTAAGAGAAAACAATTTACCACGATGAAAGTGTATAGAAAGTGCTTTAATTGCTAGATCATCCACAGTAAATTTGTGTCAAGGTTCTTACAACATTTCACTTCTCTTGGCAGATCTTCTATTATCACAATGACAATAATATGACATTAATAACAAAAGTGATAAAAGCATAAACAAAAAGAAACTAAATGAAATTGACTTGACAATAAACCCAAAAATATTCCAAAAAAAAAAAGAAGCAAAACATTTCAATTTAAAATTTCAGCATTCCCTATTCTTCGTGTGCATGTCTAATTGCATCAATGTAAATATCACTTTAGTCCAATTAATTTCTAAAGGACGAAATGAATCATATAAAAAAAATTTTTCAACTTTCCCATAGATTTTCCTAATATATAACAGTGTAGATATAGGTAAGAATGTCAACACTTTGTTTCATGTTTAAACATAATCATCAGACTGTGGACAAGAGAATAACTTAACTATTTATATATGTTTTTATTACTAGGGGATTATTCTAACAGCTAATGAATAGGACTAATTATGGATCAGGGGAAAATGGTTATTACCTGTTTATTGTATTTTTGTGATGGCTATTGTGTAGGATTGTTTGTTACTAATTATCTAGGTCATTAAGAACTGGCACACAGATTTAAGGTTTATATTTAAGTCATTTGATAATGGGTTGTAGGTTTACAATTTAAATTTAAGTTGTTTACTTTGGTAAAAAATATTGTTTACATACGCTCTGTCTCTGATGTACAGCATTTTTCTCCCATAAATATAGCATACTTTAAAAACTATATTTTATCACACACACAATATTAATTTTTTTTTTTTTTTTTTTCAGCCACAACTGACAAAGGATTTCTTTCTACAATGCCCAGCCATTACAGACGTTATCAAAGAAAATTTTAAACCACAACCAAAATATAAGTAAATGTTGTCTTAATCATTTGTGTTTTTAACATTTGACCACAATTTACAAATTAGAAAGTAGTTTATAAAGTAGTTATACATTAGAAAGCAGTATAAATTCTTGCCAGAATTTATCTTGCACTTTTATTAGTCTACTGTTTATCCTTGCATTGAATATTGCACATCTGGTCTGGTGCTTCTGATATGTATCTAGAGATTCTTGACAAAATCCAAAAATCTGCAATGTTATCAGTCCTGACCTAGCATCTTGGTTTCACTCACTGTCCTACCGCTGTATTGTAGCTTCCCTCTACCTTTTCTATAAACACTTTCATAGTAATTGTTCTGTTGAGCTTTCCTCTAAGGTAGTTTGACTACATAAATTTAAGTGTAGTACTAGATTTCATACTAAGCATCATTTTATTGTTGACATTGCTAGATGTAACCATAATTTTATTGTTGACATTGCTAGATGTAACCATAATTTTATTGTTGACATTGCTAGATGTAACCATAATTTCTGTGCTGACAGTTTCTCACTTCTCTCTTGTGGAATTCTCTTCCAGCTTCTTGCTTTTCTGTAAACTAAAATCTACAAAAATTTAAATGCAATGTCAGTCGTCATCTTCTGAGCCCTTAACTCTTGTCCTTTCTCCTCAGCAGCGTTTTTTTTTTCATGGCGATTGTTTCCTCCTTGGTACCTCAGTCACATGAATTTAAATGTACTACTAGATTGGCAAATAGCTCTCATCATTTTACTCTCAAATTAGCTAGATATAACCATATTCTAATATTTTCTCTCACATTTCTTCTGAGATTCTCTTCCTGATTTCTTGCTTCCCTGCCACCTACAATCTTCAAAAATGTAAATTCTAGGTCAATTGCAATCTTCTGTCTATCTGAATTCTGTTCTGTTATTGTCTTTCTCCTCACTAATGTCTTCTTTTTTTAATCTCATTACCTATCCACCGTTGTGTCTTAGTGGCATTGTTGCCTTGTTTGGGCTGAAATGATTTTTAAAAAAATGAATTTGAACTTAGAGTTTTACAATTGTCTGTAATAATATTATTCAATCTCATTCTTTCTATAGTAATTTTTTTTTTCTACTTTAAATATATTTTCATGTTTTTTAAGTGCCATATCCCTTTAGAACATAGGTAATCATGGCTCTCCACAAATCCCCTTTCCTTTATCATTTTTGAATTTCCATTACTTCTTGGAGAAGATAGTGGAATAGTTTCTTGTTGCCTTATCTAATTTTTTTTTATTCAGCTTTCTTTCTGCTTGACTGGTTGCCACCCAAGGCTAGTGATCTCAGTCTTTTTATTTACTGTTAGTTCACTCAATACAAGGCCTAAGGGCCACTCAAGGTGGAGAGTTACTGAGTAAGGTTCTTTTAAGGGACGGGGAATGAGGAAGTAAGAAATGCATTCATGTGGAACAGATAATGGTTGGCCCCAGACTGAAAGATACTAAAATTGTAGTCGTCATAGAAGTATCCTCCCAGGAGTCTGTGCCACAAAGCAACAATTATGCAAAAGAAGCTGTAAATTGGTCCTTATCAAATGTTGTTTCCAATCTGTAGGAATGGCAGCTAAAAATATCCCCTCCCCAAATTTATAGACATTATACAGATGCAAGTTGGGATTTCTTCCTAACCAAAAAAATGAATCACTTCTTGGTCTCCTTTACCATATTTTTGTTCTTTCTTGTTTTGAAGCCAGAACACTATAACCAATTGACTGTATCCCTTTTACATGTGAACACAATTCTTACTCTGTGAATATTTTGCCTTGTTAGTGTTGTTTTCATAGTTTCAATTTCCATATATATTGTTTGCTTAGTATTATTTTGGCCTGTTCTTTTTCTTTCTTTTCTTATTGTTTATTGAGAACTTTGTCAATTCTGTTTGTTTGGCATTTTTGCCAGTTACACTTAACCATGGCCAATTACTCCACATCAAAGGAACACAAAGGAAATGGGGATGATGTTCCTCCGTGAATATGGCATGGTGGTTCCTAGCTGTGAAAGTCTGAGCTGGTAGGACTAAGGCTGCTATTTAACCCAATAGCTGGGGTGAAAAGATAGGAATTCATGATTTACTGCATGGGCATTTCTATGAAAGTGAACGTAACTAACTCTGCCATAATTTTAACTTAGCTTGCCAATTTCACCTTTCACACTGATAATCATTACACTGAATTTTAAAATTTTTAATATTTTTTCCCAAAGTAAGCAAAATCTTTGTTATCTAATGGAGAATACCTGGTTAATCTCCTAGCAATGTTCTAACTTGATTTGATTGGCTGATCCCATCATTTTTTTGGTACCGTGTAACACCATCTTTTTCTTGGGCACAGTTTAACACCATCATTTTCTTGGGCACAGTGTAACACCATCATTTGTTGAGCACAGTGTAACGCCATCATTTGTTGGGCACAACTCAACATTTTCTAACTTTGACCTTCATATTCAGCTGTTAAAGTTTTTCATTTTCTATTTCAGATACATCATCCACGAAGACCATGAAACTACATTCCAAATGATAAAAACCAATATTTCTGCTGCTGTTTCCCAATTGGACAGAATTCGGAAACATCCAAAGTGAGACTCCACCCTTTTTATATAGCCAATGTAATTGAAGAATTAATTACACATATGCCATCATTTTTTTGATCATGTTATGGTCATGTTATGTTTATTTTTATGGTACAGGTTATATTTGCTTTCTGTGGAATTTTTTTAATTTTAATGATTTTAATAAGCAAAATCCTTTCTTACAACAATTGAGATAATTGTATCAATAAAAATTCTATATTTCTCATGCAGAAAATATAACCAATGCAATTGAAGAATTACTTAAATATTGCTGTGATATTTTTTCTTGTAGTTGTGTTAGCTTTGACTATTTTTTACTTCTAATGATTTAAAAAGTAAAATTCTTTCTTATATGCAGCAGTAGATTTATATCCATACATAATCCTAGCTTATAGAAAAAACAATCTGTACAGCAGCAGAATTACTTAAATATGGACATTGTCTTTTTTCTGGTACTTGCAGTGTTAACTCTTTGTAGATATTTTTACTTTGAATGATTTAAAAAGCACAATTCATTTTTTACATACAACAATAGAGTTAATTGTATAGATAAAAATCCTAGATTACTTGTGTGGAAAATATGATCAGTGCGCAAAATTAAATGTCTGTCACTTGTTGATGTTATGCTGATGTGAGTTTTTTTTTTGGGGGGGGGGTGATAGTGTAAAAAACAAAACTCAAAATTCTTCTTTAATTGTGACAATAGAATTAATTAGATACAAAATGCTAGATTAATCATGCAGAAAATACAATCAATGCAATTGTAAAATAAATTAAATATGGCCATTTTTTTTGTTTTGTTTTGATGGTTCAGGTGAACTCATGAAATATAAATTACGATAAATAATAAAATTATGATAAATAATAACTTACAATACTGTGATAGCATACAAATCCTAATTTCTAATTAGTTTTTATGCATTTTTCTTATATTGCCTTATATTGTTTTTTTTTTTCATGAACAGAAAATTTATTTGCTTAAATGATAACATTGACCACGGAAAAGAAGAATCCCAAACTGTGAGTATTTTAATTATTTTTGTTTCTTTTTATTTAGCATTAATCTTAATACGTATATAATTGGGAAGAGTTTGTCTGTTTATCACTCAAGGACCTTCTCTCAGTTATACACCAACTGATAAATATGCCCACAATAAGACAGAATTTCAAAAGGACAGTTTTTCTCTTGACACTGCCATTTTAACTACCTTCACTCTTCAGCAATATTTATTTTTGAAAATTTATAACAAAAATAATAAACACTTTTTATTTATTAGATTGTTTAATTATACTATTTATTATATTATTTATTGGAATCATTGGCAAAACATCAGCTCATTGCCAATTGATTCAAACTTTATAAAATGGTAAATAATAAGGATTTCCTTATAGTTGGTTCCCACATTTTAACAATTTAGTAAATGCTTATAAATTTATGAATAAAAAAGATTTTCATATTCCTTTATAAAACTGGTAAATGATAAATATTGCATGCATTACTTCTAATTAATTGTATTAGTTTTTAGAATGTTGTAAATATAAAATTATTCTTATAAATAAACAATCTAATAAATAGTGTTTAATATTTTTGTTGTAAATTCTCAAAAACAAAAAAAATCTATTAATTCACTTTCATCATGTGTTTAGGCTTTATTCCAATTCTAATCATCGCATTCTAAACAATAAACATTGCTGAAGAGTGAAGGTAATTAATAAAAGCAGTGTTATGGGGGGAAAAACATCCCTTTGACACACTTTTTTTTGCAGGTATGCTTATCCTTTTTTGCCGACAGACTTGATTATATTGGGTTGGAACAAAAGTTTATAGTGAATTTTCAATAGGCAGTGTATGAACACATGTTTTTGTTTCCCATGTTACTGAAATTTATGACATATATACATATTCTGAAAGGTGACATTTCAGCACATCTTTCGATACAACTTGTGTGTGGATTGTAAATTTTAAATGTTATTACAATAAAAACAAAAATGGAGAAAAATAAGATGCCTTTGATGCACTTCTAATCCCAGTAAAGAAAACCACTGTACAAACAGCAAAAAAGATATGTGCCATTTATGGAGATGGTGCCATAGCTGAAAGTAGCTTGTAAGTAGTACACTAGGTCCAAAAGTAGAAATTTTGATCAGCAAGACAAAGAACTTTCTGACCAAGTCATTTAAAATAATGTGGATCACATGACACTGGACATTGTAGAGGTACTCTACATCTTGTCTGAATGTTGTAAAGCCTTTTAAAACACTTAGGTATGGAAATCACTATGATGTTTGGGTTTTTCAGAATTTAATGGAAAGACTCTTTGCTCAAACAATGCAAACAACCTATTTTTGAAAAGAATGATCACAGGTGATGAAAAATGAATTGTTTACAACAATGTGAAGTGAAAAAATTCTGAGAAGGAAATTAAATGAGCCATTGCTCATCATCATCATCATGTCACCAGACACTTGCCTGCTCCAATTTTCAAAGGGATCTAAGAGCAGAAGAAACAGAAGACAACCTCCTCCAGGATGATCTGTTGGCAGTGGCTCTCAGGAGTTCCAGCATTGTCATGTTTGTCCACTCTTTGATGATGTCTGACCAGATTTTGCATTGCTATACCCCGTTTGCATAGACCTTCAACCATACCTTGCATGATGGTCTTGCAGAGGCTGTTGTGACATGGATAAACCATGACATCTTCTGACATTTAATAGTGGCAAGGAGAGGTTTCTGTTGGTTCACAAGACTTTTGACCTTGCTCCATACATAGTCCTTGGTTTTGTGCTCCCAGTTGGAAATCTGGAGAAGCTTTCTCAAGTATTTGTTCTCAAATGCCTGGATCGTTTTTCCTGCATCAACATCCATAGAGAAGGATGAATATAGCCAGCAATTTATAGAGCTTGAAATTGGTATGGAAGCTGATGCTGCTCTTTCATATCTTTTCCAAAAGCCAGGTTATATCTGAAGAAGGTGATGCTGTATATCTGGCAGGATTGGATAGATATTGGTGATGACATGCTCTTTCTGCATAATCATTTGGACTGATTAAAGGCAGCAAGCAATGAAAAGCATCTGCATTTGACCAATTGGAAGGATGTTTTCTTCCAACAGGACAACACCAGACCCAGTAATAATTTGTTCAACTTGACTGATATGACAGACTAAATCCACCAGACTCATCTGACCTTGAACCTTCAAATTACCATTTATTGCAATCCCTACAAAATTTTCTTAATGAGCAAAACTTCAATTCTCTGAAAGCTTATGAAAACCCATTTAGACCCACTTATCACCCATCTGGGAGGATGCAATCATGAAGCTACTTCAAATATGGGGAAAGATAGTGGAAGAAAATGGCATGTATGTAGTTGAATAAATCTATGTACAAATATCTAAATATTTATTTTGAAATTCACTCAAAAAAAAATATTGACTTTTGTTTTGATATTTCTAAAAAAAATTTTATTTAATATTTTCATTTAATTCATTTAATTTTTTTTCCAATAATTGTCAACAATATTTGTATTGAATTATATAATTTTATTTTTTTTAATCAGTTAACAAAAGAATTTTCTTATTTCTCAGGTGAAAGCCATCCTGAAAGACTTTTTTGAGTCCATGTATCCAATTCCTTCTCGTTTTGAACTTCCAAAGCAGTACCGGAATCGTTTTCTTCATATAAATGAACTTAGAGAATGGTATTCTTTCTTTTTTAATTTAAGAAAATAATCCATTTTGTCTTTGTCAAATACTTATGTTGATTCATTATTTTGTTTTAAAGTTTTACTTGTTATTTCATTAATAACAAGAAACAATTTTGCAAAGCAATTACAAAATTTTACATTTTTGCTTATATCAACCACCGTGCTAGTGTACCACATGATCCTCTTAAGTGTGCTTCAAAATATTGTCACACACACACACACACACACACATATATATATATATATATATATATATATATATATATATATATATATATATATATATATATGCATGTAGAAATAGTAAGAGACTGCCCCCTCTGCTCCTGCTTCTCAAAGTCTCATATGACAGATTTTATTTGATTACATGGTATCAGCAACAGAATTTCTGTCCTCTGGTAAAACTTCATGAACAGTGATGTTCTTTAAGAAGAAAGTTTTTTTTTTTTTTTTTTTTTTTTTATTTAAAATAATTTTAAAAACCAATTTTCAGAACCTTTGGATAAAAATGTTTGGATTTTAAAAAATTTAGTATTTAACATAAAATATAATGAAATACATTAATCAATTTTATTTTATTTTGAAACAATGAATTTAAGAAAAAATAAACAATATAAAAAAAATTAATTTCTTCAAGAGAATAAATTAATAGGTGTATCAATTTTCAAACAAAATCTATTGCTAATAATAAAAACATTGTAGTCATTTAATTTAAAATACCAAACAGAAGTTGTTTGATATTGAAATATTTATTAGTATTTCTAATTCATTGTTAGAATTACTGTCCTCTAAGAATTCTAATAGTATTTGTAATAAATACATTTTTGAATGGATTTTAATAACATGGCTTTTTATGAAATTAAGTCCTTATGTGAAGGGAGACAATCCAAGATTGTTTTTCTATCCTTGAAAATAATTTCTTTCTTCTTGTCACTGTAATGCACAGTGAAATAGGACAGGAGTCCCCAGATGCACCAACACACACACACACACACGGCTGGTGCAAGATTCTTGTACCCCCTCCCTGGATCTATGATACTGCCCCCCACTCTACTACATCTCAGTTTTCATAAAATAGTTTTCATAAAATAGTTTTCATATAAAAACAAATTTTATTGCAACTTAATTATATACAATAATTCATCATCTGCAATATTCTACTTGAAAATAAATAGAAGAATGTATCTAGATACAAATTAGAGACATCTCATAATAGATTATTCCATTTTAAATAAATCAACAATATTTTAAAATCCACTTGCTTTTTTCTTTTTTTTGTTAAAAAGAAAAAATGGAATAATTTTAACACATTCAACAATATGGTTAAAAATAGTGAATTTTATATAGTGTTTTTTCAAGACTTAGCATGAGCAAAACAAATTCACGAATTTGGATGAAAAAAAACCAGAATGACATCAAAATCTGAAAAATATTCATCCTTTAATAGTTGTGTTTAGTTTAATTTGTAACATATATAAATGTAGGTAGAAAAAAGCAAGAATAATATTTAAGAATTTTTTTACACTAAATTTCACCCAATACAAGGCTCGAGAGGCACTCAAGATAGAAGGTTACTAAATGTGATGTGTAAGAGGTGGAAGGAAGTGAGGATTATGAAGACAAGAAGGATAATGATTGACTTTTGACTTGATTGAAAACATTGAGATTTTGGTGTTCTGGGAAGCACCTTTGTAAAAGTCTGTTCCAAAGGGTAGCATGTTGTTAAGAAAAATCTACCTGAGTGGGACTTTCTTCCTTACAATTGCAATATGGAGAAATGTGGGTGACTTGACTCACATGGCATGTCCTTGCAGTAAAGGTCTGAACTGGTGAAACTAAAGAGCAAATCTCATTTGAACTATTGCCATGGAAATAGCAATATTCATAATAATTCATACTCCCACAAGACTGCATAAATGAATTTGAATCCTATCAATGCTGAAAAGTGTTCCAGCCCAGATATAGTAGTTATTCTCTATTTGTAAAGTTAAAGCATGCCAAGATAAGTCTAGTACTTTCTGGAGCTATAGAATAAGCAGACCTTTCCTCCTACAACTTTAGCAATGGATTATATATATTGAGGTCTGGAGTGAACATCAAGACTGGAGAAAGTTTGGCATCTGATCTATATTTAAAAAATGTTATTTTAAAATAAAACAATATCTTTAATAATTTCAGTGACCATTTGACAGAATTTAATGATGAAAACATTTATTTTTGCAACATTAGACAAATATTAAAATGAAAAGTAAATTGTTATATAATTAACTTGGCTCCTGAAAAGTGAGCAATCATTTTAAAAATTCTTATCTGTTTTTTTGTTTTTTTTTTTATTATTTTACTCCAACGATTTGAATGATTATTCTTATTGACTGTATCCTTATATCCATGTCCATTTCAGGAGGATATACCGAAGTTGGCTTCGTTTCTGGACATATTTGACACTAACTGTATTAATCCTGTTGGCTTTAATGTCATTTTGTTCTGATAATGTAAGTTGAAAAATTCTTTTTGTGTCATCTTCAAAATGTCTACCTAATTCAAAAATACATTTTAACAAGTAAATAAAAGTGATTTCAAGTAGTGAAAAACGAAACAAAAAAAAACAACTGATTGAAAGCAAAAAGTTCATTAGAGTTGCCATCTGCAGAGATTTGTAACAAATATTTGTAAAAAATAGATTTTTGAATGAATTTTAATAACTTGGATATTTATATAATCATGTCAAGGGAGATAATCGAACATTGTCTTTCGATCCTTGAAAGGTACAACTTTTAACTGCCTTTCAAAAAAGAATAAAATGATGAAAAAGATTTGATGGGAAATTAAAAAATTTTTCACTTTGTAAAGAAATCTTTACCATAAAGATTCCGAAATTCCAATTAAATATACAATTATGAAATCAGGAAAAATGTATATGATTTCTTCTTTTTGTTTTGATTTTTTAAAGAAAAAAATTCTTTGCAAAATGTTGCAAGTATTAGAATTTCTGATTTAAACCCTTACCCGACATAGACGTGTATATACGTTTTTACCGAAATTGTCTTTTTCAAACAACGTCAAATAAACACATCTAAAACTTAACGTTAAAAAAATTTGAAACGTGTCCAATTGTCACCTCATACATCTGGTAGAGGTGTTAGCCACTGCTCCGGGTACTTCAAGTTTCTTCAGTTTCTTAGGTGCTATTATTAAAAACAAATAAAAAAAAAATTAATCTGAAAATGAAATATCTTTCCCAAAATAATTGGCTGAAAAGAAGTTAAAAGAAAAAAATTCCATTTTTTTTTCTTTTTTCGCCTTGTAAATATTTAATTACAAGTATAGATTTGTTAGTGAGAAAAATTGCTAACATCTCAAAATCACTATTAATGAAATCAATAAAAAATAGTATTACTCTTAAATACAGGTTGTGTATCCTTTATCTGAAAACCTGTGACAAGTCATGTAAGCACCTGAAAAACTTTTGGATTTTGAATCCAAAAGTTTTTCAGGTGCTTACATGACTTGCCACAAATAGAAAATTTCAGAAAGTACTAAGAATGTTCTTATTAGGTGATGTGCAGCTGTTGTAAGTGACCTTATCTGTTCTGGATGGAGTTTCCCCAGACCAGTTACATAGCCTAACCTGGCACCAGTTTTTTGTTAGCGATTGTCACAGCAACACCTTCATTAGTGGATTAATAAGCAGGTGTTTTGTGCTCACTAAAGATATTATTCAAAATGTCAAAGTTCTGCAGGTAACCATATGGGTAGAGAAAAGAAAAAAAAAGCATTTATGTTTATTAATATAATACAAGAAAGTTAAACTGTTAGAAAAACTACCCTCTCTCTCCAATTTCTCACACCTCATGTAGAAGTATTGTTTGGTATTGTATTTATATATTTTCTGTAAGTAGTGATCATTTTTTTTTGTACACATATAGAAAGTACAAAAATCACTTTTATGTGAAATCTTAACTTCACCACTTAATAATCCATGTGAGTATTATATGACTAGCATCATTACCTGTATCTGTATGTAGACAAAATTTATTAAATTTTATATAAAACTATTTTCAGGGTATATGTTATTTATATAAAACTGCCTTCAGGGTCTATGTATAAGGTATGTTATGAAAGTGATATCATGTTTACAGTTGGGTTCCATTCTCAAACTGCCCCATTTCATAGATGTTATATACAAATCAAATAGCCTGTATTCCAAAATCTGACAAAATCTAAAAACCAATGCACTTCTCATCTCAAAAATTTTGGATAAAGGATTCTCAACCTGTAGTATCATTAGCAACCTGAAAGCTTCACTTAGTTGAAAATATTTACTCTATATCCAAAACATTGGCTTTTATCAATTAGAAAAGCTTTCTTTGATGCAATGACTAAAAAAATCTTTTCCATCTAAAAGCAAGTTTTGTGCAAATTTCAGGCCTCTACAGAGTTGAATTTTAGGCAAAATTAAATTTAGGATGTATATTATAATATTAGTAATAATAATAATGGTGTCAAGAGAAGATCTATCCTTTTGACATAACTTTTTTTTTTTAACTTGGTTCTAAGTTTTACTTTGCTAAATTTTCATAGAAAACATTTAGCAATTAGTGAAATTTAAAAAGAATTTAACATGGAATCAAAACTTTGACTTAAAGAACAAGTCCTTTTCATATGAAAATAGTTTTCTTCTCAAAAGTCATAGCTTTCTGTAAATATTATTGAGCTTGAGAGAAAATAAAGTCTTCAATGCAAGTAGGTTGTAAAAAACAAAATCACTCCAAATTCCATCATCTTTTGTTATCATTTGACTTATTTACATTCAAACAAATGTCCCCATGTTGGTTGTTGTTATTTCAATTGTAAAATAACCAACAATGGTAGTAGTAATTCTGAATTACTTTATTCTTGTACCAACAAGATACAAATACAAAAATGCCATTGGTCACTCAGTTGTTTATAAAATACCGGAAGAGGTAACTTATGTCCTCCAGTGTCTGCCTGTTGAAGACCCCTATTATCTAGTAGTCAGTTAAGTGCCACATGTAATACATGCTTGGGTGATCATATATCTTTCAATACATGACTGATGAGGCAGAAGATTTTTCCCACAGTAGGTTACCATTTCATTCTGCAGTAGACTGGTTGCCAATCTAGGCTAAAGAACCTAGTTTGTTCTGCTATTCAACCCATAGCTGGGGGGAAAGATGGATTCATATCTTTCCCAAGGGTATTTGTGCATAAGTGAATATAACAATAATATACTGGCTGGAATTCGAACTTGGCTCTCCGAGTTCTCATCCCAAACTGATATCCATTACACCACAATGCATATCTAATAAGACCTTCCATTTCTACTCTACACCAATGTTTCAGCCATCATGCCCCCTGATCTTCTTCAGGTGTCTCTTGATCTGGACAAACTTCAGAAATTATGAACTGAACTCTTTATTTAATCTTTCAGGAATAGATTATTCTCATTCTGGGGAGATGTCATTTTGTTCTTATTTAGTACTGCTCGGTTATTGCTTGCATTATTTCCACTGAATCTATGTGTATATTGCCCAGCCCAGAGATTGAACTCATGACTAATATGTTACCTAGTAGATTTAAACAAAAATTTTGATCCACTAGGCTAAATAAGAAATGAGACAAGATATCCCAAGACATGGACTGTGGAATGAGAACAATCTAGCCATTGTAGATTAAATAAAAAGTGTTCAATTTGAAACTCTTTGAAGGCATCTGAGGAACGCACTAAAGCACAATTATTGAAATATTGTGATAACAACAAAGATGGGGATATTAGACAGACTGTAAATAATACAAATAAAGACAACTCCTCATCCCAGAAATTCTGACAGAAATCAATTAATGTTTTTTTTTTTTTAATTTTTCATCACTTGTAATACAAATGCTTTTTTTTCCAGCTTAAAACAACAATTGTTTACCAGGTTATTCTGTCAAGATAATGGAAGATCAGAAAATTTAAGCCTTATCCTAATTCAAGTGAAGGTTTGATTCTTGATTATCCGTTCATGATGTGGATAGCAAAACAGCATCAATTGTCTTGGTTACTTATTAAAAAACACTATATCTTTTCTTAAATAAGCTATGAACTGGGGCTTTTGATAAAAAAAAAATAATAATAAAGAAAGTTAATAAAAATCATAAATAATGGATTGGCAATTTTTAACTTTCATGCCTGCAAAAATCTGTGTCAAAAGAATGGTTCTTTTCCCTTGACACTGCTATTATTTTAACTACCTTCACTCCTCAGCAATGTTTATTGTTTTAAAAAGCAATGATGAGAATTCTAATAAAACCTAAACATGTGATAAAAAGTGAATTTATCATTTTTTTTGTTCTTCACAATTTACAACAAAAATATTAAACACTATTTTATTAGATTGTTTGTTTATTGTTTATTTTATTTATAACCTTATATTTACAACATTCTAAAAAAACAATTTTTTATTCACAAATTTATAAACACTAAATTTATTAAAATATGTGAGCCAACTATATGGAAATCTTTATTATTTACCATTTTATGAATTTCGAATTGATTGGTAATACGCTGATGTTTTGCCAACGATTCCAATAAATAATATAATAAATAAATAGTGTAAATAATCAATCTAATAAATAAATAGTCTATTATTTTTGTTGTCAATTCTCAAGAACAAAGAAAATGTATAAATTCACTTTTATATTTTTAGGTTTTATTAAAATTTAATCATTGCTTTTTAAAACAATAAACATTGCCAAGGAGTGAAGGTAGTTAAAATAATAGTGGTGTCAAAGGAAAAATAATCCTTTTGACATTGTTCTTTTTGCAAGCACAAAGGTTAAAAGGTGGCTTGATTTTTTTTTTTTTTTATTATGACATCTATCTTCTTTGTGGCTTATGTAACAACTGGTGTTTGTCATCCTCATGAACTGACCCTTGTCAATTCATCTTACCCAAGGGAGATAATCGCCCTCTACATTTCTACACATAATTTTATAAAAAATATCTGAGAAAAAAATTGTGTTTACCTCAGCTGCAGCCAGGTATTGAACAAAAACTTGGAGAGTTGAATTAAAGGGAGATAAAATGAGATATCCAGAAGAGGCATGGCATGTGGGACTAGAACAATCTACCCTGGTGGACAAAATAAAGAGTTCAGTTTGAAATTCCAATCATCTAAAGAAGGCTGGAGCATACAACAGCTGAAATATGAATATGGCAACAAAAATGAGGATAACAGTTTGAATAATGTAAATAGTGTAAATAATTACAATACCTCATCTCAGAAATAAATAAATATATATATATATATATATATATATATATATGGAAAAAAACAGGTTTAAAATTCAGCATCAAAATGTATTTCAAGTAAAAGACATCAGCCTTGAATGAAAGAACATCTAAATGGGACCGTTTTCAAAGTAATACCACTCATTTGTTTGTTTGTTAGTGACACAAAAACATTGATGGATAGAACCTGTTCATTGTTGGTGAAAATGGTGCAGACAGTAGTTGTAACTGAGTGGGGAAAAATTGTGCTTTTGTCACTGGAAAACTTGATGCGATGACATTGTTTTTAATAGATTCAGAATTAGTAATCATTTGTCTTGGTCACAAACAAAACTCCTACCTCCAGGGTTATAACAATATTTAATCAGTTTTTAAGATGGCTTCCTTTCTACAAATTTGAATTTGGGACATTTTTTTTCTTTTTCTAGTTTCTTAATATTTTCCATAATAAAGCTCTTTATAAATTCTATTCAGTTTTTCTTCATTTTTATTATATTCCTTGTTCTGCATGATTTTTTTAATCTTACTACCTCTGTCCCATAATAGTTGTTACATTCACAGACACATTTCATCCACTGAATGTAACAGTCATTGTGGGACAGAGGTGGGAATAATACTTCTGTCCCATAATAGTTGTTACATTTAGTGGATGAAATGTGCCTGTGAATGTAACAACTATTAGGGGACAGTGGTAATATTTTAGTTTATTGCTTACAAGATTTCTATGTAATTCAAATTTGTTTTTTGTACTTTATTAATTTCTGTTCATTTCCTTTCATTAATTTTCTTAATTTAATTAAAAATTTCACCTTCTTTACATATAATTCAAAAATATATATAAATACACATGGCTTGAAGATTGCATTCAAACATGAAACATAGAGTCACTGCTTGGTGCTGACCTCAGTGTTCACTTTTACGTTTAAATATGTATGCTCTATCTCTGATATTAAACACTTTTACCCATAAATATAACATACCTTAAAAAACTATATATATATATATATATATATATATATATATATATATTGTAATAATAATAATCTATAATTCTTATTTAGTTAGGTAATATTATTTTCCTTTCACTATTTTGTCTTTCCAGATTGAATCGGTCCACAGGAGGATATTTTCTCATCGTTCAAGAGTTAAATCTTCAAATCAACCAAATATTAAAGAAAAGGAACGAAAAATGACAAAAACGGAAGATTTTCCTTATCTTGTTTAATAAGCAATTCTTATGACTCTCTCTCTCTCTCTCTCTCTCTATATATATATATATATATATATATATATATATATATATATGTGTATATATATATATATATATATAAAGTTTGGTACCTGTTGCTTTGCTGATGACAAGATGATTAAATTTCAAATCTAAATTGTTTTTCCATTTAAAATAGTACAGTTTCTACAAAATATATTCTGTTTAAATACAGAACTCATAAAAATTGCTTCAAATGGGTGCACATTTTGGTTTTACCCTTTTCCTCTTACCCAGTGGTTGTTGTCAGACTAAAAGGGAAATTAGCCCTTGCAACCCAGATATCCATTTCAATTTCATTCAAATTCTGTGTGTGTGTGTGTGTGTGTGTGTGTGTGTGTGTGCATATATTTTAATTCAATGAAAGTCCTGAAAAAAAAATTATACACGATTTCAAAGACTTAAAATAAAATTTCTATTTATTACTGAATGATTTCCAAAAAGTTCAATAAAATCATATAACTGAATTTTTTTTTTTTTTTTTTTTTTTTTTAGATTTTAAAAAAGTTTTTTGTCTCCAATTTTATGATTTTATTGCTCAGCCCAGGATAAGGGTTGTCCAAATGGAATGGAAGGGAATGTATTATTCCAATGTCTTATTTCAAATTCTGTGTGTCTTTGTATGTTTGTGTGTACATTAAATGGCACAGGCTCATGTAAGTAACTCTCACGAAATACAGATATATTACACCCGTGCATACAAAACTATACACAGATGTAGACAGTGCATAACACAAAAAGAATCAGTTCTTTTATTATAATATACATTTTTTTTACTAAGATATCCTATTGAGGTTGCATGAAGATGCCATCAAACAACTCTAATTACTGTTTGTGTTCTATTTAACCCTTCTATCCAAAATGCATAATCATCAGGCAGCAATAAACATTGTATTCATTCCGTAAATCCTTTGTAGCCAAATCAATGCAAAAAAATAAACAAAACTCAAAAAATCAGAATTCTCTTGATTGATCAAAGTAAAAAAAAATTCCTAAAGCTAAACATGCACAATGCTTTGTGTGCTCGGCATGCTGGTGGCCACTTGCAATGTGAAAAGTTGGAGAGTGCAATCCTTATAATGTCATCACCTGATGAATATATATGAGTTCAGCTTGTATTTAAGGATTTGCTTGAAGTGACAGACAGTTTGCTGTTTGCAGCTGTTAAAAAAAAAATTTACAATTCCCAGTGAATCCAATTTATTGTGGGGTCTGCGTTCCATGATTTATGGTCTTGTAGTTAGTTCTTTTTTCTTTCCTATGTGGAGACTGTGTTTTGAAGCTGCTCTTGCACCACAGAACTGCTTGCAAATACAGTTCTCAAAGGATTTCTTTTATTGTATATACTTGTGTATAAGTTGAGAAATGTATTACAAAGTAATTGTTGATTAAAAGGGGGTTAAGCTCATATTTGAGGTCAATGTTTTGCCAATTTTCAACAACATCAACATCTATTAGATAAAAAAATTTTTTTTTTAAAAATGCCAAAATATCTGGAGGGATTACTTTACAATGAAACACTTTCTTATTTAGATTTTACAAGCATTTTACAGAAAATTTTTCATACTCAGTCTTTATTTACTCAGTCTTATGATTTTATTTCTCCTAGCATGTGAGTGGCCAGTTCCCAAATTAATTTTAATTTTTTAAATGTTCCAATCAATTTGTATTTCTACAGATACTCTGAAAAAATAGATCTTCTTTTATGAGGCTAAATGGGTTTTCAAGATTTTTAAGGCACACATTTAATTTGATTTGTATGTTTGTTGCAGGTCGTTAGTAACCAAGGGTGTTTCTGTTGGGAAAAACACGTGTCTCCTGAAATACCCACAACAAAAATGGAGGATTTGCATGTGTGTCCACCATGATAAAATGCAAACAAACAAGAACCAATATATGTACAAACAAATGATAATGTATTAACAAGAAAGGTATGCAAATGACAAAGTGAAAACCTTTTTGGTTCAAAGGATATGAAGTGAGTGAATGCGTGTATGTATATGTGTGTGGTTTGTTATGTTTCCCAATGAGAAATGTGTTTTTCCACAAGAGGCTTACATTTTGATTTGTAAGCAGAAAAAGTAAGAAGAGAGTGAGAAAAAATATAGCAGAGTATTTATAGTGCTGGAGAGTGACCCTAGTAGTGGTTTCACGAAAGTAAGTGGAGTTAACCCCACATGTTAAATAAAATCCTGTTACATTCAGAGATTGTTTACTTCCATTTTGGCAAACATTTTTGTCAGTCAAAATGGAAGTAAAAAAAAAAAATTTGTGAAACTTGTTGAAACTTTATAAAACGGATGAAATGGTAAAAAAAAAGTTGGGAAACAAAAACTATTCTAAACAACATTTTAAAAAAAAATTAAATATTGTTAAACTTCACAAAAATATTTTTCACTTATGGGAATTTACAAAACCATGACATCTGATCATAATGTGTTGATTAGTGCCTCAGTTTATACACAGGGTGTGGATTTTCTCCTATCACTCATGGGATCAACTTATATTTGGACTGGCTCATACATGAGTATATAGCATAATTTTTAAAATTTTTGTCTGAAATCATTACAATTCATGTTTTGTTTTTTAAAATTCTGTGAAATATAAACTAAATATTATTTAATATAATTTAAATAAAAAATCATTTAAATAAAAAAAATCATTATGATTTTTTTTATTTAAATTATATAAAACATTTCATTTGTAAGTTTGTACTTAAAGAAGCCAAGACAGCTCATCTGAAAATAGCTGTTCGTAAAACTCCTTCTTTTAAGGGTGACTTCAGTTTACAAATATTGGAAACAATAAGAAGCTACATGTTGATTCTGAATTAAAATACTTCAATAGATTCCTGTGATGAATCAACACAAGATTAATAGCCATATTGCTTCATTTTCTTCTTCTTTGTATTTTTTTTTTTTTTTTTTTTTTTTTTTTTACAAATGGCAACAGATATTTGGGCTTTTCTAAAATAAAAAAAGAAAATAAATGGCTTGTAAGTTTTATTTTATCAAAAAAACTTGTCCTGTAAAATAATTTGAAATAAAAACAAATGAAATTCTATTTTCATGCCTTTGTTTTTATTAAAATCGATTTTTTTTTTTTTTTTTTTTTTTTCTTTATAGAAAATAATTTTTTTTATTCTTTGTCAAAAAAAAAATTGCTCTTCACATTTTACATTTTAATAAGCATGTCAAAATTACATTTTAATAAGCATGTCAAAATTAATTTAACACTTGAATTTTAAGAAGATTATCAGTCACTTTCCCACCATCATAACATAGCTTCCGTATGCCTTTTCTATAAATATTTTTACAGTAATTGTTCTGTTGAGCTTTCCTCATTGGTACCTTGACTTCATGAATTTAAAAGCATTTCAATCTAAGTGCAATACCAGATTGAGAGGTCTCATAAACTCGCTATTGAAATTGCAAGTTGTAACATGTTAATAGGTTTTTTTCTCCTGCACTTCTCGCTCATGTCAACTGCAATCTTCAAAAATTTAAATGCAACGTCACTCATCATCTTTTGTCTCCTGTTAAATTTTGCCATAGACCTATCTAACTTCTAATATGAAGGTAAAGGAAATTAAATGAATAATTAAACAAATTCTCTTTTGTTGCTCGCAAAAGCTTGGCACAACACAACATGGATTTTTGCCAATTTATCTACACACAACAATCATATTTGCCAAAGGATATTTCTACATTAGTGTTACAGAATGCAAAGGTCAGGGCCAGAATGGTCAATGATTGGCTGGAGGGCATGGTATTCTGACAGTGATGGATAGCCTTTGTCTAAGTTTTGGATACAAGTCCAAAACTGCAAATTCAACAGAGGGCCACAAGAATTCTGAAGCAACAATACACCTCCCACAGCCATATTCAAGAGACTAAAGCCACCCACAGAGGGGAGACTGAGTCAACATGTGACATACATTCGCATTATGTCATTCTTCAAAATTCCTCTTAGAATCCATGCTGCCATCACTCTCTCCTAATAAAACAGATAAGAACAAGAAATGGTCCTTTTCGTTGATACCGTTTTATATAGTAGCATGGGAACCCAGAAACAACACAGAATGCAACAATTAGAAAAAAAATAATTAAATATAATTGACAAAAAACATTGTTTTTTACCATACATGTTTAAAAGAATAATTGCTGACCAAATATACCATACATACATACACAAAATTAATGGATTAAAAAAAAATAATCCAACATTATTTGTTATTGCATTAAACATTTTTAGTGTTTGAGTAGACATTCCTCTTTTGTTTTTGAATGTAATTGATATCTACTAGTCGAGGTAGTAAGAAGTAGGCACATTTTCTTTATTAACACTTTTGACTGCCCAAGCCAGTAGCCATCAATTACACTGCTTAAAAGAAAAAAACAAACAAATCTCTACTTATACAATGTATATCCACACTAAGTATGATGTTTATAGAAATAAGAAATATATAAGAGAAGTAGACAATGTGGACATAGGAATCAACACTGTATGGTAACTGTCAGTTTCATTGCATTGTCATGAAACTGACAGTCAACATGCAGTGTTGATTTCCATGTTTGCAGTGTCTATATCAATAAATACTCTATTTCCAATATTCTTTAAGGCTGTAACAGGAGAGCTTGGAAGAAAGATTTATCCTCCCATTTTTGTTTTTACCATTATGGACATTAATATATCCATGATGTAGATCACGGATGGAACAGAATGCCTGAAAAGAAAAGGAATGACACATGATTTGTTCTCAGAGAGACTTTTATCCTACTAAGACATACACAAATCTGTATATACATATATGTTTTAAAAATAGGATATATAACCCCAACAAATTTTAAAAAATTTTTTGACAAGTGGAAATGTTTGTGAAAGCAGATATATTTTAGAAATATATCTGATTATGCATTTTGTCATTTAAGGCTTCATCATATCCAAAAGCAAAAGAA